GACAGGAATTGAGCATTGAAGCCATTTAAATATCTCTAATAAGTAAGAATATATTTACTCCAAATGCAACTAGAATTTTTACCCGTGCTCGTATCTAAAATAAAAAAATATTACTGGACGATGGAATATAAAGTATTTTGAAAACAAAACTAGCAAAACACAGTGCTTTCCGTCTATTTTTTGCCTTTGGTGAGTAGAGGTAAATTCTTGAAATTGTAATTCAAAACGTAACACATCCACCCACATTTTCGGTGGCTCATACTATTCGACAGCCTCTTCAAGGACGTGATGATTTAGTAGAAAATGGGGGGTTAAATATACAATTGTTTTCTTAATATGGAGCGCCCCTCCCAAAAGTGGAGGCAACCTCTCTTACGCTACAGGTCAGGTAGAACACAATGAAGTAATTGCTTCTCCTCGAAACTTCTTGTAAGTTAAGCTTTTCGAATATTGTTACTTATTGCATTTATGTCGTTGTAATTCAGTTTAAAACAATAAATATTAAACAAACCACTTTTACATCATATTTATTCCTCGCAGAAAATGTGTCCTTGTTGGTAGTTGTAAATTATGCACCCAATTTAAAAACACAACACGTTTTTCTACTGGGATGGAAAAAAAAAATCCTTTAATCGCGACGAATATTTCTCAAAAAGTAAAGAGACCGCCGTATTAAGAAGCTTTTTGAGATCTTGCCTCATGTCCTGAAACATTTGGATCTCAATGCGGGGAAAGGTGCCTTCATTTGGAGTGATAGACGAAAACAGACCCCACGAGTCCATATAGTTGTATCATTGAAGATTGACCATTGCATTCTACAGCAAATGCTGTACAATCCAACACTTGAACGGCTTCTGATTGTAATTTCAAAAAGCACAGCTCCATACTGGCGCTGAATGTGAATTTTCAAAAAGAGCAGGAATCGTGAATTGTGGATTCATTGCAATGAATTCAATCCCTTTTCTATAATCATTGTCATTCCTGGTTTTTTTTTTAAATTTTAATGACTCGATATAGGCTAAAAATCGGAGAATTTAAAAATGACTGGACTCTGAAGAACTGAATTTTACAAGAAGTGCTTAATAATGCAAGAGATCAAAAAAAAGTTAAGGTAGGGAAAGGCCTTGGAGGGTAAGGGACGCATTTTGAAAAATTTTGTCGGAAGCAAAAAATAAACCATTTGAAATTGCAGGTTGTGTTTTTCTCAGCTGACAAATTTTAAAAAGTAAAAATGTTGACTTAAAAATACAGGGACTCTTATTCATGTCGTCCATCGTATTTTCAATCAAAAGCAACGTTCAAGTAATAAAACTAATACAAAATTTGGCATTTATTCGTAACTTGAAAATATGGTCCAGGGAAACGGCTGAGAATTTTATAATAAAGATAGGACCCTATTTATAGATTTCCGGGAATCCACATATGAAAATACGTCTCACCCCCAGAGACCTGAATTTTGGAGCATCATGGAGATTGCAAGTTGCTTTTTGATATTCAGATTACTTTACCACTTCCTTCATCAATACAAACATAAATACTGCCGCAATCAGTGTGTCAGCTACTTACAGAGACTATTTGGATGTACTTATGCTAAAAGGAACTATGTGTATAGGGTTTGCGCGAGACGTAGTTCCTTTTGGCATGAATACGTTCATTTGTCGGAAAAAAGAGGACTGATAGCACCAAAATGAGTCTAAAATGGAAACTTACAATTCGCGAGTTGAATCGGTGAATTTGATCGGTGGTCCCCTAGCTGCTCCGCAGCCCGCAGCACAATTTTTGGAGACTGGCGACCACTTACCAATTGCCTTCAATTGAAGCTAGCCTTAATCGGCCAAGTTCTTCGGTAAGACGGGCATTAATTGCGATAAATTTAGTCATAAAAAAATCACGAGGTATAAACAACGAAAATTTACGTCATAATTATTACTGCAGAGAGGCGGCGGAGACCGCTTAGTTATTAGAAACGCAAATTTTTCGGAATTTTCCGTAGAAATTTTTCGGGGCGGATTTCAAAATTTCCCCATGAAATGCAACGTTGTCTAGGCAAATTAGAACTGTCGAACGGCAAGGCTGCGGCAACGTGAAAGCTGTTGGTATAACTGGTTAGATCCGGGGCTAGGGTCGGGGCAGAGACAAAATATTTCAGAGACGGCACTCAGGGATTCTATTGCCTACAAGTTTTTTTTCAGGGATCATCAATGTTTTTATTTATAATGGCAACTGCTGAGCAAGTGCTGAGTAATCTGTTCGGTAATCATTAGGTTTGTCAAACGGTCTATTTACGAAAAATTTGAGATCATCGATCTTCTGATTGGCTAGTGATGTGATTCAGATCACAGATAACCCCTCATAATTAATTTGATACTACGAAGGGAGCTTTCAACAAATGAGACCAAGTTTACTGCCATTTTCACACAGTCAAGATACGGTTTCCGAGACAGGGAAATTGATCGGTGCTGAAAAATTTGAAAATTTTCTATTTCACTAGCTTTGCAGATATTTTCAACATGTTCCTGCGAGCCGATAAGATCGGTAAAGAACTTCAAACTTATCGATAATACTTAATAGGCAGAACATTTTGGCCAAATTCTAACTTTCGAGGGCGGTTTCAGGACATTTTGTCAACGATTTTTTGTCCGCGCACCTTTTTGCCCAGTAAGTTACGCCCACGCGTAAAATAAGTAACAGTGACTTCGTCCAAGCGTTATATTTTAGGCGGTATGTAAAATTATATTGACAATATGGAAATGAGAAATTGAGAGAGAAGGAGTTGTTGTTATGGTTGCTCATTTTCTAAATGAAATGTTATTACTTTCTCCTTTTTGAATCATCTTTTTAAATTGTCATTGGTGAATGTTTGGTTTTATCTCTATCCTTAAAATATTCGATGTACAATGTACCTTATATATGTATAGGTACTTTTTTTTATTTTTTTATTTTTTTCTTTACGAAATTATTACTTCATTTTGAAAACATTTATATTTTCAAAACGTAAAAAATATTTGTAAAACATTTTCCAAGCGACATTAATTTCAATGAGCCGCAGTTGTGCCGACAGAAACTGCAAAATGAATAAAAGAGGAAAAATCCCGAGAAGCACGCAATCTTTAGTTTTCACCCATTTGTACATCGATCTTTTAAAGCCAAATGCGTCAATTTTGAGCGTTTGGTTGCGCGTAACCTCGCTGCAGCACAATAAAAGCCCAAAATGTAAAAGAAGAAAGTAAAGTGCTTTGGAAATCATTAAATTTGACACGGAACCACCAATATTTAAAAAACACACATTATATTATTATTCTCCTTTGAAAAATTGATACATATTTTTTCCCCATCAATTTAAATGAGAATAATCAATGCAGAGTGTGCAAACATTTCAAAATCATGGGTTAAAAAACGCTGACTATGCGAGTATAAATACTAAAACCTAACAGAGCGGAGCGGCGTGCTGCCAGCGCGAGAGGCTTACTGGTGCCTACAAACCTAAGCGGATACTTCACGCATTGCGCAATGCGTGAAGTATCCACTTAGGTTTGTAGGCGCCAATGCGCGTTTTGCGCTGGCCGCCCGCCCGCCGTGCGGCGACGCCTGAATCAACTATTTCACAACAGAGGTGTTGCGCAGTATTATACGAAATTGAACGTATCAAGAATGACAGGCATCCTTTAAATAACGTACAGATCTTTCCTCGCAAAATAAATAAAGATATTCATCGTACACAGGAAAAATCTTAGAGCCTTTAGCTAAGGCAAAGATAGAGGTTTATCCAGTTCAGGTATAACAAGGTGAAAGATAGAGGGTTTATCCAGTTCAGGTATAACAAGGTGGGAATTTCTTGAAAGATAATTAAGTCCTGTTACACCAAAGAGGTGTAGGGAGTTTTAGTGAATTTTGTCTCATGGAATTGACGCTCCCCCATTTTTACCAAAACTCTCAACTATATATTATTCTCCGTTGGACCAAACAGACAAAACAAAAAAACAAGCAAACCCTCATTCTTCCAAGACATTATACATTTTCATCCAAAAACGTCGTGAGCACTTGTCGTTTGTATTTACATGTGGGCCAATTAACTTTGGGTCTCAACCGGCACGTGGACCAAAACTCCCGTGCCGAAAAAACGCGTGGACGAAAATTACTGGAAAAACAGGTGCGCGGACAAAAAATCGTTGACGAAATGTCCTGTAACCGCAAGGGCAGCGTAACGAACCTAGAAAACTGCTCATCACAGGCTCTGTAGTCAGATTAGGCCAGAATTTCCTTGTAAAAAATTGTTGAATCTCTGAAAAAACGTTTGCTACACTGGTTCCTGATTACGCTAGAGAGTATGAAAGAGTGAAGACCCACTTCCATTGAAAGAAACTGAAACAGTACTGATTCCGATTATTGCAGATACATTATTTATTAATGTGTGTTTATTAACAGTGGTTAAGTTTAAGTTAGTTACTGGTGTGTTTATTACAATACTTTATTAACAGTGTTCGAAACTCATCTTCTAGTTTCAGGAGTCTTTCGGTGCATCAAGCTTGATTTTTAGGGGCCATTGAAGACTTTTTAGGGGCCAAATTCACTTTCTGCCTCGCACTTAGTGAAAAGTCAGACGTACGATGTTTTACTTAGCTGTAATTTGGGGGAAACGTCAAAAAATCATCAAACAGAAAAATTAGGATTTTTTTTTTTTTTGGGGGGGGGGATTTAATTTTTTTGGCTCTGGGCCAACGTGGCGCAGAGCCTTCATTTTTTAGGCGCCATGGCCGATTTCTTCGGTGCATTTGGCGCGTTGGCGCCTGTGAGTTTCGAATACTGCTTTCGGACCGCCCTTAAAAAATCAGTCCGAATATTCCGAATTTGTAGACACGGTGGAAGTGGCGTCTATCCTCGATCACTCCCTCGTTTGATTTAGGAGAGCCGTCGAAATATTTCGTCTCTGGGTGGGGGGCGGGGGGAGGGCCGACTAATCCAGCTCATTGATTCAACTCATTTGTTCTCACCCACCATAGGAGCTTAAAGCAGCTAACGAAACCTTACGGGCCCTGCAGGTACAGCTAGAGCGCGCGCTGCAGGCTCAGGTGCCGAGCGGCGCGGCGCCGTCTAACGCCACGCTCAAGGCCATCCTGGAGACGAAGGACGCCCGGATCACGACCCTGGAGAAGGAGGTGGAGCTCCTGGAGGACGAGCTGGACCGGATCCGGGAGAGCGGTGGAGGCGGCCGGCCCCTCTCCCTGTCCCTGGGCCGCTTCTCCCCCTTCCTCGACTCCTCCCTAGACTCGGCCGCCTTCGGCCTCAACCTCAAGCGGCAAGTAAGTCAGCCACCGCCGCCTCCAAGCCGAGGCCCCCCTTCGCCTTGGATTGCAGTGCATTGGATTGGATTGGATTGGATTTCGTGGTTGCATTGGATTTCCACTCTTGGATTCTGCTCTTCTCGACTGTTCTCTTCAACGGCGTGGCACGTGCTTCGCGATATCACCACCTTCTGGCCAAAGTATCATTGTTGTCCCTCTGACGTAAGGGCGTATCTTGATTTCCACACTGGAAAAAAAAACCACATTGGATCTAGAGTCCAGACTCTTGAAAACATTGACAAGAAAAAGGACTCTTGATTCAATCAGATTTAACCTTAAATCAAAAGGAAATCCGCTCAAATTAAGAGGCTTGGTTCTCGATTTAAGCTTACATCTGATTGAATCAAGAGTATTTTTTCTTGTCGATGATTTCAAGAGTCTCGACTCTAGATCCAATGTGGTTTTTTTTCCAGTACAAGTGAACCCTGTTGTTCACCCTGTTGAACCCGGTACATTTTTTCATAGTCCATTTTTCCCAGAGCTCACGTCGAAAAAGAGATACGCCCTCACTGCCGTGCCAGGGAAAAACGCCGTATGAGCCTTCAGGCGTTGCCAAATTTCCTCTGGCAAATCACTGATTTGTAGGAACATTTTTGAATATTTTTCTGCCGATTTCTCAGATGATTTTGGTTATAATTTGATCCAAAGTGTCTGAAAATTTCAAGAGAAAATATTCATAAGTTTCCTCTAAAATGAACATTTTATCCGCAGAAATTTGGCAACTCTCGAATGTTTATACGGCGTTCTTCCTTAGCACGGCAACTTACGTCGCGCGACACGCGCATTGGCGCCTACAAACCTAACAGGATACTTCACGCATTGCGCAATGCGGGAAGTATCCCTGTTAGGTTTGTAGGCGTCAGTGCGCGTATCGCGCTGGCAGCACACCGCTACGCTCTGTTTGGCATTAATATTCAAACTCGCGGAGTGAGACGTTTCAAAATTCCCGCCGCCATTTTATTTCTTTTTACAAGGAAATCATTCAACGAAGCTGTCAGAAAATTTCACTGGATTTTCTTCGTTCTGCCGATAAAATTCAGTGAAATTTTCAAACAGATTCAACCGACTGTTTCTCTGTAAAAAATTAAAATGGCGGCGGAAATTTTGAGACGCCGGGTGGCGCTTGCGATACTTTGGCGGGGAGGTGACGATATACCAATTGATCTGCCATTCAAACCTATGGAAAAGGGTCGACAAACAGGTTGTTTGCAACGAGCACCTTGATAATCGATTCTTTGACATAGCTTCAAATGGGGAAATATCGATAATCGATCATTCGTGCCTCGCCGCTAGTTCTCTCCTAACACTCCCCGACTCCTAACCCTCCCCTTGCTTGCTCAATACTAACATCATCCGTCGGCTCACGCACTGAAAAAAATGTAACAGGTGGATTTACTCTATGCACCTCGATGCACGTGGGAAAATTATACCCAGTGGTTTAGAAAGATAACTCAGAAAAATATCATTGATGTTTCAAAGAAAAATTACACATATTTCATGCGATAATGATCATATGTCCCATTCTAAACAAAAGCGTAAAAAAGGCTTGTGGCACGCACTGAGTTAAATCAAAATACGCGGTTTTTCTGAATTTGCAATCGATATGAGGATGATACACAACTGAAATTTTTTGGTAAATTTTGCTGGGTTGTGAGTGAAATAAATGCATATGTAGACTAGAGTAACTTTCGATCTGCACATTGTAAAAGCCTGAGCTAGTTGTAAAACTAACTAATACATAACGACATATTATAATCACTAGAAAAAGTCATTAACGTAGGGGTTGTTCGTATTTATACTGAAAATTAAGTTAATTACCACCTGATTACATTTTTTAAGGAAGTTTTGATGGAGGTAAATCAGTCCAACATCAGTTTCAATATTCTGATTCCTGACTGATCACACTCACATCAGGTCTACTTTTAATCACAAAATGGACTGATTTTGGTCTGACACACTTACGTTTGCTAGTGAGAATATTCCTTGAAATTATTTCGAATCGAAGTTCCTTCCGATTTCTTCCAATCAAAAAGTTTGTATTGAAGAGATTTGCGAGGTAGACTCATGGCTAAATGACGTTTTTAGAGTGTGCGCTACTAACACTAACATTATATAATCATACTAATACTTCCTTCTCTTAACTATTCTAACACTTCTTTAATCTGTCTTTTTCAAAAATAAAAAATAAAAAATAAAAAAAAAATCAGTAGGTAAAGCAAAATTTGATACATTACTCCTTCGAATTTGCTAGATTTTCAATATTGCCAAAATTCTTCAATTGTCAGAGAAAATTTGGAGACAAATCGAATAGAGAACGTTTGGAGGAGAGACTCCCCGACCAATAAGCGAGAAATATCTTGGTAACAGATAATTTTATAGTGCAGAATTGGAGAAAAAATCTTCATTTCCCGAACTCAAAAGAACAACTTCTCATAGAAGAGAATAACTTTCAATTTTTAGAGAATAACTTCCAATTTTCGGGAGGTTTGTTGTATGCATTCTGCCGGTTCAGAAAATATTTTCATATTTTGCAAATTCCCTGATTTTCCCAAGCGTAAAAGTGAGAAGCAAGAAGAAATTTCCGGATCAACTAATTTCCTGCGAAATCTCTTGTATTTTCACCACTATTTCCAAAAGTCGAAAAAAAATTTGTATCACGACAAAATTAAATTGCTGCTTTAACGATTCAATTGTTAAAAGTGACTGCCATTTTCCAATGTAGATTTTACGATGGGAAAATGCTACTTTAACCACGCCCGTGGTTAAATTAGCTTTCCACTATTGTAAAATGTACATTTGGAACATGACAGTCACTTTTTTTAACAATTGAATCGTTAAGGCAGCAATTTAAGTTTTGATAAAAAATTGTTTTCGACTTTTGGAAATAGTGATGAAAATACAAGAGATTTCGCAGGAAATTAGTTGATCCGGAAATTTCTTCTTGCTTCTCACTTTTACGCTTGGGAAAATCAGGGAATTTGCAAAATATGAAAATATTTTCTGAACCGGCAGTGTACTTTAGTGTGCTTCTACACTATTGGAAATTCTAACCAACTTATTAACCGAATTTTACCGAAATTAAGCGACAGTTTGGCATCGCTTTATGATGAACGAGACGCACCTGGATACCATTGGCGCAGTGTTGCCGATTTTCCGATAATTAGCCCATATTTCCGCGAAAATCAGCGAAAAATTTTATAATTTTCACGCCAGACCGCACAACGATGGATTTGAAGAGAGCACTTGACACCCACATACATCATCCCACAAAAAAGTCCTCCACCGGAACCGTAAAAGCCAGCCGCGGTAAAGGGCAGGCTAAAAGTCGCAATCCGCAACGTAAAAAGAATAAAATAGGGATGGGCGGCCCCACTTCATCTCTGAGCCCAGCGTTACTCAGCCCGCTGCTGCAATAAAACTCGCTTGCGATGTGTGCGCTGTTAAAACAATGAACACAAAATTTCGGCGATCGCAAAGGTTGAAAACTAATGATCAAAGAGGGAACGTATCCGCTTTAGGAGCACTAACTTCCACTGGAATGATACGCCTGTGTCACACTATCAAAGCTAGCCATCGAAATATCAAGGTCAGTGGGCTGATTGTTGAAATTGATAGACAAAGAAGACAAAAAGGATGTGGAGAGATCCTATTGGTGGAAACGGGTGCACTGGAAGAAAAACACATTGGACCTGGAGTCCAGACTCTTGAAAACATTGACGAGAAAAAGGACTCTTGATTCAATCAGATTTATTTAAGCTTAAATCAAAAGGAAATCCGCTCAAATTAAGAGGCTTGGTTCTTGATTTAAGCTTAAATCTGATTGAATCAAGAGTATTTTTTCTTGTCGACGTTTTTAAGAGTCTGGACTCTAGATCCAATGTGTTTTTTCCCAGTGTGGTTTGCAATGGACAAAGGAGATAAGTAATAGACTAACTAACGGCAACTTACGAGAGACCCTTTAATTAGTCCATCACTAACCCCCATAGTCTATATGAACCACCAAATTGACTAACAGAATCGCTCCATATTCCTTATGTCCTCATTGTCTATCGCTTTGTCGTTCCTATACTGCCGTTCTAAGGATGAGCGCCGTAGGAGCCTTCAGACGTTGCCAAGTTTCCTCCGATAAAAACCGAATTTACTGGGAAAATTACGAATGTTATTTTCCATTTTCACACAATTTTGTACGCAATTTGATCTAAAATATCTGAAAATTTCAAGGAAGAATATGCATGAATGTTGTCGAAAATACATGTTTTATCAAGGGAAATTCGGCAACTGTCGAAGGTTCATACAGCGTTCCCCCTTAGCACAGCAGTATAGGTTCTATCGAAAGAAGGAAGTCGCCTCGCGGAATTGCACCGCGCCTTCAACGAAGGATCATGCAACCAGCGTGACGTAACGAGAACAGGACATCATAACACATGCACGCTGCACCGTTTGCCCTTCGCCCTTTTTTCGCAGCTCGATCGCGCTGCTTTTCCCCAACTTCCTCGGTTCTGGCGGCACATTTGTTTGCAGAAGCACACGCTAGATGGCGTTGCCGGGTCGAATCATCCAGGTCCCCGGGTGATACCGTGGGGTTTTCCAAATTCGACTCGAGAACATTCAGATAGTGTGCATCAGACTAACCACGAAACTGTTAGTTCTCCGGTGAGGATTAATAAAGTAACGAATTCCAGTTTACAACATTAGATCCTGTACGACGAAAAAGTTCAAAGTTGCACGGGAACAATGATTATAGTCATCAGAATAGTGGCGACTGAAGTCATCTATTTTCGAAGGCTTTCGAGACGGTCAGCTGGACTTCATTATCCGGTACGAAACTACTATGAATAGAAAGCTCGATTAGATGGACCGCGTTAAACAGAGAGGAACAAAGTCACATTGCCAAATTCAGGTGGGCAATTTAATTTTTTACATGAAGACGATTGTGCAGATTTTCATTCAAATTTCAGTGAATTTTCTCCACGGTACGAAGCAAATTCCTTAAAATTTTCAAAAGAATCAGCACAAACGTTCTCTCGTAAGAAATTAAATTGTCCCGTTAAATTTGGCGATAGCTGATGTGGCATCGTCCTTTTCTGTTAAACGCGGTCCAAATGAACCTAATGATGCGACCAATGTAGAGCTACTTAAACGTGCAAACGACTGAGCTTTCAAGAATACAAAAAAATGTAGGCAACGCCGCGGCGTTCTTGTTTCCCTATTCGTTCAGTGTTTTCATTTCCTGCATGATTCATTTAAGAGATTCAAATGCAGTTCCCGCGCGTTTAGAGCGCGCTGGGAAATCAGCTAAAACCACACACACAATTGCCATATGATGAGGAGAAGGTATCGGTGTTCTCTATATTTTACGGCCCGTGAAAAGCCAATTCGTGTGCGATGTCTGAAAACTTCCCTTTTCGTCGGTCATAGTTGCGGCGTGCGAGGGGGAAACTACTCTTTTTTCGACTCGAACCTTTGCGGAGGCGAATTCCGAGCGAAATCTGACAATATCGCAAAAATCACGAGAATGTAACTGAAAAATTCCAACGATTACAATATGAGTGAGCTGCATTCCCAAGTTTCCGCCCTGTACCCGAATGAAAGTATCGCTTCGAAATTAGACAAATATACAAACATACGTCGGAATTGCGTCTTCACTGAAGCTTGAAATTCGAATTGATTTTTAGCCACACATACCCTAAGTTTTGCGATTCGTTTACTGCCGTATATCGACACTGGAACTATAAAAACGCGTATCTTGATTTGCGGCGTTGCAGATTTTCTGTCATCTTTCATTTTCCACAAGGAAAAGAACTCAACGTCATTTCTTGAAAACTTGTGTGATTTTTCTTCTCTACGTGAAAAATATCATGTCCTTTGAAGATGTCAAGCGATGAAGTTGGTTCCGTCTCCTTTTAAAAATAAGATAGAAGAGAAGATTTTGAAACACCGCAACCTAAATACGTATTTTTGCAATTTCATTGTGGATATTCTGGAATATAATTGGAAAATTCGGCTTCCTATCCTTCAGCAATTTAGAATACTCTGATAACACACCGAGATGAACCGAGAAATAAAAAAACTTTTGGAGATCTCGCACCAACACACATTTGTATAAGTATCGACCAGTGACAACGACATTTTCCCATGTTGATCACTGATGAGAAACATGCTGAGAAATATGCATAGTATATGCATAAATATAATATATAGAATATAGAAATATGCATTACGCATCCACCATACCATGTTTTTTCGCTCGCGTTCCATTTAGATAGGATATTTTTGTGGGTTTCTGGAAAAAAGTCTATATAAGGCCGTGAATAAAATCACAAGAGACTTCGATCAATTGCTATAAAAGGTCTTCCTTAAAAAAAAAACAAAATATAACGTGAGATTTGCAACTAAGCAAACATACATACGTGATTTTTTAGTCCACCATCGATAAGGAACAGAGTTCCTGTTTTCTAAATTTTTTTAACATTTCCTACCCTGGAATATTTATAGTAAATGGTACCTTTGATGGGCCAAGAAAAAGTGAGCTCTATCAAATTGCACCTATTCTTAAGAATTATCATTAAGACGGATGCTCCAGCTTTTCCGAGAGCACTAAGTTTTACGCGATATGTAACAATTTCTGCACAAAATCCTTCACTATTAACCCCAGAGCACTTTCTTAACAGCAGGTATGGCTACGTCCTTACAACTTTACAATGACCTTGTTTTGTAGTGTATGTGCATGCTGAAATTTGCTTGATTTTGTTGTTTTTCGTACTTGAAGTTTATGTATAGCTAGTTTTTACGGATAATCTGTAGGTAATGTAAAAGTATCAGTTTTTGGATAGTCTCGAAATTGCACGGATCAAATACTCCAGAACTTCCAAAATTTTTACACCTTTTCGATACCCTCGTTTTACAGTTAGAAACACTTAAGAAACGATAAAGTAGAGTCTTTGACATAAAAAAATACAAAGATTACTTACAGTGTAGTTTCCTTCTGCACTGGTTGGGAACCATATCGGAGAATTTCACGGAGCCTAATATTGGAATGGTTTTGGAGGGGCACCTGAAGATGAAAATCAACTAAATAATATCATGCATAAATGTTTGATACGCGTTATTTTAGTTATCATATTTGACAGGTTGAGATGCGTGATTTCGATGTCTGAGACGCTTAAATGGCATACCTGATAAAACGAGAAACAGCTATTCGATATGTGTGGGAGCGATGCACTTAAGTTTCATCGAAGCAGCTCAAATTGCATAATTTCGAAAATTGAGAAGAGCGATGTCCTGCTGTTAGAAACTCAATTTGAAACGTAGCACTGCGATCAATAGAACAAGATAAAATTTCTCCTACATCAAAGTCGCTTATACATCCTGATATGTAAGAAAACTCAATTGCTCGCTCATACGTTTACTCGTCCAGATGCGAGACGTAGCACTGAAAAAAGAGTGGAATTAAATCAAATTTTACACCTCTCAAAACGACGGCAGACAATTATTTTCTGTTGTCTACCAACAATTCCACCTCTTGAAACTCAATTAATAACGTTAAACTGACAATGAGACTTCAAGAATACACGATAGGCGATACAATTATATCAACGTCCAAGTAGCAAAAATTGCATAGCTTCTGAATTGAAGGCGAAAACAGTTCCCTACTCGTATTTTCGCTCCTTCCAAGGTGTGATTCGACGCGATACAATTATATCAACGTCTAAGGAGCTAAAATTGCATAGCTTCTGAATTGAAGGCGAAAACAGTTCCCTACTCGTATTTTCGCTCCTTCCAAGGTGTAATTCGACGCGATACAATTATATCAACATCCAAGTAGCTAAAATTGCATAGCTTCTGAATTGAAGGCGAAAACAGTTCCCTACTCGTACTTTCGCTCCTTTCAAGATGTGATTCGACGCGAATCGCTTATCACACCCCTTTCGCGGGACCAATCGATACTAACACGTCTGGCTGAGATTTTGCAAAATGAGTGAGAAACTATTCGATTTTCCTCGCGAAACGGAGGAGGGGACCGGATAATTTTGATTAAAAACGGCAACAAGATTTAATTGTTTCCTCGCAACGCCCGCGTTTCAACACTTCATCACGCGCCTACGTATGCGACGGATTTTATCTTCGCTCGCAATAAAGGCCGCACAGCGGCTGAGGCCCGGAATTTTTAGAGCTCTTGCGTTGCTACACTGAGAAAAAAAATATAGTAGATTTTACTATACTCGGACACAGTGATATGAGTATAGTAAGAAACACAAGACTCCATATGGTAGCGTCTACCATATTATGGTATCACGAGAGTTCTGGTGGATACTACTATAATTCTGGTTATTTTCAATAAATAGTATCACTGTTTAAAAAATTAAGTAGACTTGGTAGTAAATGTTACCATACTTTTTTTCCAGTGTAACTTCTGCCGCCAAAGTTTTTTCCAGGGATTCCCTATGAAAATAAATTGAATTTTATCATGGGTCCTATGAATGATCCTCAACTCATTTTCATTGAGGATGTCTGCAGAAGAAAAATTCCTAGGGTGCGCATTCGTCTCCGTGCCGTTTCAACTGATTCTCAGCGACAGGTACAGAAGTTTCCTGGAAGAGGTATTATTTACTTGAGACGGGAGGGTTGGACTTGAAAAAATTCCGTGAGAGGACCTCCAATGAACCACAAGACAAAGTCTGAACAAGAAGTAAACATGACATGCTTTCTCTTCGACATCTTACATAGAAATCAATTTACACAACGAGAGGTTCGGAGCTCAAATGGAAATTGGATTATACAAATGACGTCATTTATATTTTTGCCATTTCAGCGATGTTACTTGTGAACACCTGTATCTTGCCCAGGAGTTGGTTGTCAGACTTTCCATTGGGTGATACTTTTTACTCGCGAAATTTTGAAGAAAAAACATGTATCGTTGAGCATCAATTCAGACCTTCTCCAGAAGCTTGTCGACGAAAATGACTGAAAAAATATAAATATTTAAAAATAGGAGGAGATTATTTGCTTTACTGATTTTCCTCATCGATTTATCTGTTTCTTATGAGTAAAAATAAATGCTGCGTTGAGTGATGTGCACGACAATTTTTAATCAAACGGGGATCAAATTTTTAACTCAAAATGAAACTGCATGGAAAATCACGGGGCGAAAAAAAGTGTTGATCCCAGCGGGCTGATTGTTGAAATTGGTAGATAAAGCGATAGACAAAGACGGCAACAGGGGTATGGAAGGATCCTATCGGTGGAAGCGAGTGGTTTTGATGGACGAAGGAGGTAGGTAATAAACTAACTAACGACAACCCACGGGCGACCCCTTACAATTTAATTAGTCAATCATTTTCTCTCTTAGTCTATATAGGAGCCATTTCAATCAATAGGATCACACGATACTCCCTGTGTCTTCTTTGTCTATCGCTTTGTCCATCAATTTAAAGGATCAGTCCGCAGGAAGGAACGATTATGATAGGTTATCAAAGCGGAGGTCTCTAAAATATTTGTTCTCTCATTTTTATACCCACTGCACGCCGACGATTTTCAGCAGGTGCCAATAACGTCCTCTTTTTGAATTTGAGAGGCCTATTCACCTCGACGTGCGCCGGTTTGCTAAAACTTCTCTCCCACCCCTCGTCCTCGATGCTGGGGTGAAAGAAATCGTGACGCATTGATAGATGAATCATGTCATGCACCGCACTGGAATAAAAGTGACTTGAATTTACCGTCGAGATTTCCTCTTGAATCAAGAATAAAATCCCTTCCATCAAGCAATGGAGAAGGCCTGAGGGCGCCGAATGGCTCTTATATGAAGGAGGAAAAATAGAAAGGATTTTTATTTTAGGAGCTATGCACTTTTAACAACTTGGACGTAGATACAATTATTTTAGCACGCACTGTGTTCCTGCGGTATCGACGCAACGTTTGAATTGGGTTACAGGAAAAGGAAAGAAAAGCGGACGTCATAAAAATTTTCTGCGTCATTTCAAGAACTAGGTAATGCATTTTAAGCTACAGCGGAATTTCTTGGTTTTGGATCGTTTGACATATAATATGAGCGAAACTCCGCAGTTAGTCCGCACTATACTGCAGTCCACAGCAGAAACGCAGTGACTCCATTGAAGATTTGTTTTCAGTTTTTTTCCCTGACAAAATGTTTGATTGTTTGATGTTTGATGATCAACAAAATGTTTGATGATCAACGATCATTTCAGATGTTATCAAGTTGTTCGAAAAGGCCTCCGAATGATCAGAGATCTCAGTTCACGGCGAGAATCTGAAAACTCCTTCAAATAGATGCGTATGCAATTTGTGCTACTCAGACGTTCGAATAGTTGTATCACGCCTTTTCCATATTCCCGCAGCAGAGGCGGCTGCGTTTGAAGGGGAAAGAGGACTAATGGAGATGTTGCATGTGTGAGGAATTTGCAATTTGATTGTTGATTTCTATGTAAAAGTTTGCAAGAAACACGATGGTGCCACTGGTTTTCTCTGAAATCAACTCCCAAGCTCAAAAAAAGCTCTCAAGTTGAGGCCAAAATGAAGGAGCTATCCCACGCTATCCCGAGAGTCCACTTCTACATCAAGACAAACTCTCCATGCAAAGATGGGGGAAAAATACATTGAGGGGCTGCCACTTTATTTGGGGACTCCAAAACTGAAAACACTGCATCCCTGTTAATGTATTTGCTCCCTATCTTTGCATGGAGAGTTTGTCTTGGTGTAGAGGTGGACTTTCAGGATAGCGTGGGATATCCCCTCTTTTTTGGCCTCAACTTGAGAGCTTTTTTGGAGCTTGGGAGTTGATTTCAGAGAAAACCGGTGGCACCATCGTGTTTCTCGCGAACTTTTACAAAAGAATCAACGGTCAAATCGCAAAGTCCTCACACATGCGCCATCTCCATAGCCACCTTTGACGTCATCAAGACGTCGCGGTCATCAAAACACGATTTTGCGATACGCGCGAGCGGCCCATTTCTCTTCCGCCGCGGAAAACTTAGCCCCTGGTTACAGGATTATGGTCTGTGGCAGGACAATCCCTATTTCCGGCTATCGACGAGGGATGGTTAATCTGATCGGCCCCGATATGGACGACGCGACGGCGAGAGTTGAAACGAGGTCAAGCGACGCGACCCGTCGCGCGGCGCGTTGCGGGAAGCCTAACCGCGCTGAGCCCGGCGCAATTTTGCATACTTCAATTTGCAGTTTCTGTTTCGAACATTGACGGCCGGCGAAAGGCCATCGACAGCGTTGCCGAGTTTACGTCGCTTTAGCGGGGGAAGAGACGGGATCGCGACCGGATTGGCAACGTTGCGCCCTGATTACTAGACTCTCCGCGTTCCGGGGATCGGTATCTTAAACAAAGCTACCTGTCCTGTGTTCAAACAACCAGGGACTAGATCACTTTCGAAATTTTCCCGCCTTATTTTGACTTTATTATAAGCCCGAAAAATTCGCCTCCGGCGAATTACTTCCACGGTTAGTCGGGCTGAACGAGGGATGAAACTCCGTTTACCGGGATTCCTTGGACAAAAAAGGGATTTTTTCGGGGGAAATCAGTCTTTATGCATCTCATGTACTTTTCAATGGCAGAAAATGAAACAAAAAATGGACGGCGTTAAAGAGAAAGGAACCAAGCCACATCAGCTATTGCCAAATTTAATTGGGCAATGTAAATTTTTACATGAAAACGGTTATGCGGATTTTCGTGCAAATTTCAGTGAAAATTCTCCATGGTACGAGGCAAATTCCTTAAAATTTTAAAAGAAATCCGAACAAACGTCTTCTCGTAACAATTTTAATTGTCCGGTTAAACTTGGCAATAGCTGATGTGGCTTGGCTATTTTCTGTTTAACTCAGTCCAATTATGTTTGCCCTCTTAGTGTAGTTCCCAGATTTTCCTGATTGAAACTGACCTAAGAATCTGCATTTTGAATTCACCTGGCTCTGCTGTGAGACTTTTTGATGAAAATAAAATAGGAAGTAAAAAGAGACAAAAATAGATGCATAAAATAGGAAGTTCATTGCGAGGGAACGGGAAAATACTCGTACTTTTGTAGCTACCTTGAACTTTAATAAAATTGGTGCCCAGTTCAAGGCCTCAGTTTTCATAATTCTTTTAAAAATTTAGCGATTTTTAAGGCAAAAACTGATTCTCTTGATTAAGAGCTTGTTACCAGAATGACATAAAGTTGATCACTGAGTAATGGTGTCATCAGAGACCCTAGCAACCCACTTTAAATTTTGTTATGGACATGTGTGGGTAATTAAGGTTGTTAAGTGGGTGCATGGAAAAATGGGTATTTATTAGAAATGCACATTTTGTTCTTGTGAACGATCACAGCGAATACACAGCATGCATTCGACACTTAGACATATTTTTGGAGCCAGTTTCCTTTCCTGTTCCTCATCCTGAAAACATGTTCTTGATTGGTGATTTTGACTGGTGGAAGACCATCTCTTTTTACTCCGAGTTTACTTCATTTCGGGGAGTATTGCAATTGCATGATATGTGATGGGAGAAATAAAAGGGTACAAAAATAAGACTCTGTAAGACACCAGAAAACTTTCACAGTTATGATTTTCAGCGACTCAACTGATAAACATTTTGTTTAGATAGGTATTTTAAAGGATCATTCTTTACCATATGGAGATAAGGCTAAAATTTCAAGAGGAATCTTAAAACCAGCTTGCCTAGAAACATCCTTAAGGGTCCTTCAAGTACTGAAATTTCTATGCTGACTTAAGATACTCTATAGGAGATTTTTAGGTCAAGGAATTCTCAATTAGTAACTTTAAATTTTGACATGAATACTTCTTACCAATTTCCAATGAAAATCTGCGTTTCTACGTTGAAAAAAAAAAAAAAAAATTCTTGGGACAAAAGTTGTGGGAAAGGGCATTTAAACATGCAAAGATAATTTTAATTTTACGATTTTCTTTCGCATACGATGCGAGACTGCTTGCTGTTCACCAGTCTCAATCCTCAAACAAGTTGACAACGGCGGGTTAACAATCTTATCAGTTTGCTTTATTACCTAAGCAGCATTACGAACAATTTGGGAACCCTCTAGCACGCTCATGGGTATGGACAGTTCTTGGGAAGGCTCTCAGGATCAGAATGGCAATGGTGGTAAGAACGGCAAAGCAGACATTAAAATGAGGCACAACTCAATAATTTTGAAAGAAGGTAGATAATGAAGTTCCAATAGGTAAATAGAGGATAAACTCCTTGGTTCGCTTTTCATTTGTGAAACCGAATAAAATTAAAACAAATAAAAAGACAGGTGCGGTGTAGGTGTGGGGGAACTTGAGTCTACAGAAGACAGAAGAGTCTAGAAGTAGAAAATGGAGAGGAGTTGAAGGCATAGTTCTGACAAGTCTGCTGGCGGAGAGTAGGAAAAACAAGTGAAGAAATTAGTTCCCTCGATGATGTGTTTTGATAATCCCCAATTCTGATAAACTGAGGTTTAGTATAAGATGGAACAAAATGCTTATTTACACAATTTTAAAATTATTGTGGCATGAAGCACTATCTGTTGTGCATACAGTTTTTGTTAGCACACTGTAAAATAATTAAAATATTCACAAGCACTGAACACATGCACGATACCTATAGAACTCTTCAGAAAATAGTTTAATTCTTTCAATTCAAAGGAAGGTAGGGGGACATGTAGACAGGAGGATCACAAATCAATCTCCTAAGCGGTAGAATCCATGCCAAATAATTTTGAACATTTTTAGTCCAAGAAAGAGGATTCAACATCATGGTTCTTGTATTCACTTTCAATGCTATACCAAAGATGGTAGGTTTCCTTTCGCAGTCTAGAGGCGTTAAAACTTATTTGGTGTGAACTATATTTTAGATAAAAGTTAAGGTAAGGATACGATAATGTAAAATTATCAAGGACGAATATTTTTGGGATCGGAGAGTTTTAAGTAAAACATCATGAGTACAATGCTACTAGATTTTGTAATGGTGAGTAAGGAATAGATTGCAAAGCTGATGCTACCATGTTATTCACCTAGGGCAAGGGGACTTCATTTGATGAAATCAAAATCGAGGGTCGCTCCAAAATAGGGTGGGGCTCCAATTTAACTCAATCTTCTTGCTTGATATAGTTTTTCAAGTACAGAGCTTGTTTCATGTACAATAATTTGAGAAACAACTCAAACTTTGTTGCTTTCTCAAAAAAAAAATTAAAAAAATAAAAAGAAACCAGTTTACAATCCCATTGCTGATAATTTTTAAAATTGTGATTTCACTTTTAAAACTAACAAAATATTTCTGCGTTTGATTGACAGTTGGATGAATTTCGGGCAGAAATAACACGGCGAGATCAAGAGATCTTGGCAATGAATGCAAAGATGAAGACCTTAGAGGAGCAACACCAGGACTACCAACGACACATTGCTGTCCTCAAGGAATCTCTCTGCGCCAAGGAAGAACACTACAATATGCTTCAAACAGACGTAAGTGTAATGGAAGTGAGGTTACTGTTTGTACTCTGAGTAACTAGCAAAAATGTATCTAAAGATACTGCAATGAATGTTCCCCAGCGCCACATTAGAGCAAAGAATTTGAGATTAAACAGTTAAGTGGTAACTAAGCCTTGATGTTCCACACCAACTGCATAAGCATAGTCTCATCAAATGCCATTTGAAGATGTTGGGGAAAAACATGTCATTTACAGACAGTGAAAATTTTTAAAGCTTTCAAAGCAGAGGCGTGGCATGAATGATCGATTATCGATATTTCCTCATTTGTATCTATGGTAAAGAATCGATTATTAAGGTGTTCGCTGAGAACACCCTGTTTATCGATCCTTTTCCATAGGTTTAAAGGGCAGATCAATCGATATATCGCAAAGCATGGCACGCCACTGTTTTAAAGATTAAGTGCAACCATTAAATTAGTGAAAAAATCCATTTTGGAATTGAGGTATCGATTCTTGAAAAATAATTTTAGCACAGAACAACTTGAAGAGGCTCGAAGCTGGAAGCAGTTTCCACACAACCCGATTCAATTATGTTCAAATTTTCATCTTCTTTCTATCATGAGAAATTTAGTTTATTGCAGGATTTGGAACAAAATGACTACTTAACCATCTCTTTACCTTGTACTGTGCATTCCAGAAAATTTGCGCATCTAACTAATTCTCTTCTTAGTTTTATTTTGTCAATTCTGCTTGATTCTTGACAATCATAGCCAAGGAGAGTAATTCAAATTTCAAAGGGTAAAAAATCGTGGCTTGTTTAATCATCATTGGGGCGAATTAAAATAAAAGTCACTATTTAAGGAGCTAAGCAGCTTGGGCGCCAAATCGCTAAATTGCAAGAATATCATAAATCTATTATTGATTCATATACTATATATTTTATATACTAAGCATTAGTTTCACTGAATTTGGAATATTTTGTTTTGAATGTAGCCAAAGTATAATCTTAATATATTATTCTCTAGCTGGATGAACTGCGGCAGCGATTGGAAGAGAAAAACCGGCTGATAGAGAAAAAGACTCAAGCAGCTCTGCAAGCAACACAGGAGCGGAATAGATTGAGTGCTGAACTTACAGAACTGAAGGATCACATGGACATAAAAGATAGGAAAATCAATGTCCTGCAGAGAAAGGTGAGTTTCTAGTTTTCGGATTCTGTGCAAACGATTTTGCCACAGATCAAAAGTGCACCATCTGAAATAAGGCTCACTGCTCGAAAATTATGAGAGAGGAGCAACCTTAGAGGCTTAGTAGAGGAAGAAGGTCAAAGACATTTGAACCTTGATTTCTCAAAAGATCACGTGACCTGATCTTCCTTGTGTGAATAAAATCTGTTGGCAAAATCACCAACTTTCAGTCTGAACTACTCGTGCGTCTAACAGCAATTGATTTGCATAAAAAAAAAGTAATATAGGTAATCTAAATCTTAGAATTCTCACAGGAAGAAATTTCAGAAAATAAAAATGTTAGCCATATTCTGGCTTGAAGTGCATCAATTTACCTACTTTATTTTTTACTCCCTATAATTTTTTTCATTTCATTTAGCAACATCTCACTGTATAATTTTTAGTAGGAGCCGACTGATTTTATTTTTTGTTAGTAAATTATTTTTCCATACTTTATTTTAATCCAAATAATGGGTTGTGCTTGTTTTGGTGCTCGTTACGTACATACGTTTTCGCACTTAGTAATTTTGGGTGAGATAAAAAATCGGTGAAATGTTAATTTTAAACTATTGTATCTTTTGTTTATATTTTCTTTTCTTGTTGTTTTTTTTATTACATTACAGGGAAATACGAACCTGCATGGTGACTCACAATAAGCAGCATTTTGACATTTATTCTTTCTAAAAACAATATTTTCTTCGATGTTCTCCTTTCTTTGATGATTATTATTTGTACTTTCATCCTTCGTAAACATGTTTTTTTACCTTAATTTAATTGACTTTTTCTCCTTACTTTAGGTACTCCTTTTTCCGTTGTCTCTACATATATTCACCACATTATTATTTTATGTTATCATTTATTTATTTATTTTACAACGATTTAGGTATTATTTTATTATTGGGCTACTGATTATGTATTTTTTAATTATTTACAACACTTATATTCAGGTGCTGAGCTTTTCATTAGAATTTGTTTCATTTCCTTCCCAGTCTTTTTTTTATTCATTTATCTTTTTTCAATTTTTATTTGACTCTGCACTTACACTTCCATTTTTTTGCATACGTTCTTTTGTTTTTCTGTTTCATTTATTTTTGTTCCAGAGACCTAAGATTTCAAAATGCATTCTCAGTTAATCAAGTCATTCAAGCCATATTGAATTTCTCATGAAAGGGTATTCTCTCAAAATTATACTTCATGGCTGTTCTAACTATTTGTCTTTTATGATACTAACACTTTCTGCCTTAGAGAAAAAAAAAATGTCAAAAGAAAAATTAAGGTTGAGGAAACTAAATGAGTTGTTTCTTACCATGCAGTAAAAGTTTGTACATGTTTTTTACCTTAATTTTAAAATGCGAAATCAGAAGTCATCTCATTATAATAATCCAGTCATTCATGACAGGGAAACCGTGGTAGTAAACACGATTTCGTACGTATAAGTTCTAGCAGGAGCAAAATTCTGTTGCAAAAGAATTAGTATCCCTTCCTTCTGTATGTTTTCAGAGTAATTGCGCCATAATTATGATAGAGACTTTATTAAAAAATACCATGCACAAAAAAAGATACAGCTTTCTATGACAGAGCATTCTTTTGACAAAAAACTTACTAGACTAAAACATCAATAAAGGTATTCAGAAATATTCATAAAAAATAGATGACTATGAACAATGATGCTTCATAATTTTAGACTTCGAGTGGTACCAAATTTTAGGCCTTGTTTAATAATCTTCCATGTGTTCATTTGTGTTTTTAGATTGAAAATCTGGAGGACCTTTTAAAAGAAAAGGATAATCAAGTGGATATGGCCAGAGCTAGGCTTGCCGCCGTTCAAGCACATCACTGCACCTCAGAAGGTGCCTTGTCAAGTTTAGAGGAAGCTATTGGAGATAAAGAAAAGCAAATGAACCAACTGCGCGAACAGAGAGATCGCGCAGAGCAAGAACGTCAAGAAGAGCGTGAATTCCATGAAAGAGACATCGCAGAATATAAACTGAAACTGCACACATTGGAGAGCGAGGTAGAAAAACTAGCCGCACGGTTAGACCGAGCTCAGTCAGAAAAAGATAGACTGGAATCAAAACTCGAAAGTTCTCAATCTGAACTAGGAAAATCAAAAGCAGAGCTCGAAAAAACAGCTGGCGAGGCAGGTCGCACTAGTGCAGACTGGGAGGCTGCAAGACAAAAAATCACGCGGCTTGAATTGGAGAACGAACGCCTGAAACACGATCTAGAACGGTCACAAACTACATTTGGACGAAGTACACTTTCAACGTCACAAGAACTTGACCGCATCCAGGAGCGTGCGGACAAAGCTACCGCTGAGCTCAGGAGAGCACAAGCAGAGCTCCGCGTTACTCAAGCTGACAACGAGAGAGCACGCTCTGAGTCCTCTCAACTTCAGGAGAAGGTGGAGAAGTCGCAAGGGGAGATCTACCGACTGAAAGCAAAGCTAGAAAATGCTCACGGAGAAATAGAGAGTCTGAAAGCTGAGTACGAACGAGCTCAGTCATCAATTAGTAGGATAATAGCTGAGCGGGATCGAGCAACGATGGACCTGGAAAAAGTCAAGGAAGAGTTGGAAAGAAGTCAGGCGACCCTCGGCAAAGCTCAACTGCAACAGGAGAAACTACAGAATGCACTCGACAAAGCTCAAAGTGAGGCAGATAAGTTGCAAGAGCGGTTAGACAAATCAACAGGCGAAGTACGGAGGGTAAGTTGTTGATTATCTGTTACATAATATGAATTCAATCTAAAAATTGAATAATACTGTAGATGGTGTCATCTCTTAGCCTGTTGCACAGATTCTTCATGAATTAGTGGACAGGTTGTCTACAATTATTTGGATTAGAAATTCTTTGACCAAAATTACAAATAATGTCTAAATTCTTCGAATGAAGATCTACCTACAAGCGACGAAAAAAGGAACAGTTTTCAATTTTAATCTTAAACTCATCACAATTTTCTGAATTCAAGTTTCAGTGTTCTAAAATCTTTCTTATCACCGTCATGTAGACTCAAAAATGAGTCAAGGATTTTAAAAGAAAATTATCGTTTTTGCTCTTAAAAGTCCTGAAATATCCCTATTTTCCGAGATGTTTTAAGGTACATTTACAAAGAATTTTAAGAACTTGACATGTTTAAACCGGTACATTTTTTCCACATTGATTGTAAACAGCTTCAGGTGTTAAAACCAGCATACATTTCACTCCTCAACAACACAAATATTATCCTCTCACTTGACGCTCAAATTTACAACCTGGAATAATTTTTTTTAAAATCCTTCTTCAGCTGAGTTTAAACTGCAGACAAACTGATTCAGCAAACTAAAATTTCAACACTCGTTCCACTAATATAACAAATCAGCAAATGCTCCAAAAAGCTATATTCAGTTTCCTGTTTTCATTTAAAATTTGATCTTTTTCATTTCCTTTTTGGCATTCCGATTTTCCTCAATTTGTTTAGGGCGATATGACACTTTTACAGAACAAACAAAAAACAGGAGCCACCACGGACACTTTTCTGTCAGATAATTTTTACGATAAATTTTTTTAGGAAAACTCTTCACTTTCTGCTATTTCTGTTTCTTAACTTTCTATCTTTTTGTTGATTTTTTTTCATCCATTTTCACGAACTCCTGTTACTGTTTCTGTTACATACAACAATATATTATCTCCATTATTTTATCTCCTGAGATTCGGCAGAGTTTTAGATGCGGTCTTGCACATTTTGTAAGATATACTAGGCTCCGTCAAGAAATTCAAAGATAAAATTTCCATTTTTATATTTTTTTAAAGCAGAAGATAACAGTACTTGCGCTTTGGCCAGAAATAATTTTCTAAGTTTTTTACAAAGATCAGCCCTAAAATTAAAGTTTCTAAAACTACCTTTATAAAGTTGACAACACACTTTTTCAACAGAAAGATATCTTAACCTCATAAGTAATTATTCTATTCCGTATTTTTTAGTTACAAATGGAGAAGGAAAAGCAAAACTATGACTTTGAGAGTGTCCAGTCACAACTGGACAAAGCTTTGGGCCAATCAACACGACTTCAAAAAGAGCGAGAGAATATTCAGCTGGAGGCTGATAGGCTAAGGGACAAGTGTGAAAAAGCTCAGGTATAGCTAGAAAATGAGTAAAAGCAAACTGCAGCTTTGTTAAGCATGACTTTTGATCGAGTTGACCCGTTTATTCACTTCACTAAATTTGTCTAATCCCTGAGTTTTTTATTTTCGTTCAACTTCCTTTGGTGACAATTTTTCTTGAAGCCACATTAAAATTCTATCATTGAGAAAAAAAAAAAAAATTAACAACTAGGGATCCTTCAATCTGTTCTGCAAAAAAGAAACGCTTAAAAAACAAGTTATCAGAGCTTGTACCTAAATCGTCTGAAATAATTCCATTGTTAAAGTACAAGACGTATAACACAAATTCATTCTATGACATCTCAGCTGAATTTTCTATGACTTAATTTTATTTAATATAACTTGGAGGGTTTTTACTTAGTAGAGGTTTTTTTTTTATTTTTTTAAAATGCTTTCATATTGAGCCGCTTCTACAGGGAGGCACTGCCATACGTTTCATGTTTCTGGGGATTTTATTTAGGCTGAAACAGTGATAGACCAGGCCTTCAGATCTGCACGAAAAAATTATTTTATTACTTCTATTGATACAACCAAGAGATTATAGGGTATAAAAACGCTTTGATCCTTCTGAGACAAATTCCAGTTTAAGAATAAATAAAAAATAAAGGCCCTGCAGACCGAAAAAAATTATTCCGCTGTTTCGGAACTTTCACTAGATCTCTGGTGCATGATGAGATGTAAAAAGACGATAAAGGATAGTTTCATTTCGTCAGATATTTCAGAGGCAGAATTTTGATAAAAATGCAGTAGAATACAATTAAGATGGAGTGAGAAGAAGGGAGGACACTTACAATGCACTGTTTCTGTTGCTTGCTGATACTGAAACTTGGAGCTTAGCGAACCTGGAACAAATTAAAATCTTTGATTAGATCACAATTTCATTTAAATGTACACGTGACAAGAAGGGGCTCATGGTTTTAGAGAGAGAGGTTTTTGTTTTGTTTTTAAGGATTGACAATACACGTTTCTTACATTGTTTCTAATTTTACAGATCTACTGTAAAATCTTGGGAATAGAGAAATACAGAGGTAAAAAACATCAAGGTATCAAACCATTTGGTAAAATACTGGTTCCTCCAATAATGCTCATAAAAAATGGATCAGTTATGACTGAAAGCATATTCAAACTAAGTATACACTTCTAAAAAATTTCTTCTGGGCCTTAAAAGTAGGGCCAAGAGTATTTCTGTATAACAGTCTTGTTTGAAAAGATGTTCCGTAGGAGCTTCTATAAATGTATTCTTTCTTGCACTTCATTCCTTTTTGAAAGACATCAGCTAAAATGAGCTTTACTTAAACACACTTTGATCCATCCTTGTCTAAATACTGAACAAAAAACCAAAATTTCATAAAAAAAAATTTAGAAAATTTACAAATCCAGTATGGATTCATTCCAGGTGGGAAGAGTAGTGACAATTTCAGAGCTACCAATCTAATATAACTGTTTTTTTGGAAAACAAATAATTAAATTTACGTTAAAACATAAAACATTAAAAACTTTAAAGAAACATTAAGAAGTATTTTTCAAAATGCATGACTGAAACAGAGAATTCCTTTAAAAAATTAATTTAACGAAATGATTACAAGGTATATTATTTTGAAGCAGGAGCGAAAATTTGTCACCACAGGGAATGCGATTTATAAGTAATTGCTTTTATATAAAAATTGACATGCTTAGATCTCACAAGTAGACACTCACAATTATTTTTTGCTGTTGCAGAAAAATCACCACTTCCGTGAATGACCCTTAGTCCTATTTGTCATACATGCACTTTGAACCTGAGGGGTGGAGTGAGGTATAAAAAGAGGGGGGTGGTAATTTATTATTCGGAGACCAGTAGATGATATTGATTTTCAGTTGCGTTCCCTAATTACTTCTATTCATCCTCCATCCATCGCACCTGAAGTAACATTTTGCTTAGATGAAATATTCATAGATCGATTAGATTTATATTGGGCCTTAGTTCCCTTACATATTTCTCAAGTTTTTGCTTCTTTCCTTACTTTCCTCTTACACTGTATTTAACACACCTCAGTCATCTGATAAGTTTTATCTTGATCAGATCGAACATAGCTACGTGTTGATAACTAAATTTTCACTTTCAAAGTACATCCATTCTTTTCTCGAATGCTTATGAGATCATGGAATTTTTTTCGGTCTGAATATTTTCTGAAATTTCAGTGCACTTTATTCAAACGTCGCAAAATTCGTCAGAATTCTTGTGTGTGAAAATTGTTCATTTTTGTAGAAACAATTTGCATGCAAAGCTACAAACGTAAAATTACTCTCATCTCAGAGAAAAGGATTGAAGTGAACAAAACCCGGAATTAAGTGCATGTGAAAAATATTTTCCAGGATGATTTTTGATTGCAAGATTAACATTTCAAGAAAAGTAGCCGACTGACACATTCTTCCTCATTTCCTATAAGCGCCATTTGAAATGGAAAGCTACTTCCCTTAAAATTAGAAGCCCCAACATTAATTAGAGGAATTGACTCACACCCTTAGAATTTAGACCTTGCTTGGATTTAGTTTAAAAAAAGTTATTTTATAGAAAATGGACTATATCAGATCATTTCGTCTTTACAACCTGGTAGATAGATTAATTCAAAACTAATTTTTTTAAACATAAGTATTATTCAAAGACTATAATGACTCCAAATTTTTATGAAGCAATATGAAACGATAATTGAACTACAAAGTTCCAACCCTCTTCCTCATGAAAGAATTGTCATGTTAATTTTTACTAAATAAATACGGCACTCATCCATATGATGCATCTCATTCTTTGTGCGGAAAATTATGGGTCAGAAAGAGGGATTTATTGGATTCCTAGTGTCTGAAAGAGAGGAGCTTGCGATAATTTTTTTTAGGAGAGAGAGAGAGAGGAAACTATAATTGAATATGAGGTGAAATGTTTTTCTCCCTTAAGGATTGGAAATAATTAGTGGAATAGTTTGCTCCTCTTCAACACATAGGGTGAATTTTTAGAGATAAGTATAGTACCAGTTAATAATTGGTAAGATACAAACAAATTAAAATTAAACTTTTGATTTCTTATATAACCGAGAATGAGCTAATTTTACTGTTTTCTTATTAGATTTTGACAGCACGACTTCAAAAAGAACGAGACCAGTATCAAGAAGAGGTTGAAAAGCTGAAGGAACGCTTAGAATTGCAACAGAGTCAAGGCCTAAAAGCGCAACGTGACAAAGAGAACCTCCAGACTGAGCTCGAAGTGATACGAGAGCGATGGGAGAAAGCACAACAGACACTGCAAAAGTTACAGGTAAAATTTCATTGAACACTTAGCTCACAGCATTAGCTCATTTGAGTCTCAATTAGAACAATGGTTCCGCTGAGCGATATGAATTTACGTCTGGTTACAAAATGCAAAAAGTCCAATTATTCAAGATAAATCGACGGTGAAACTACCAGATCACGTATCTAGTTTGCGGCATTTAAAAATCTCTGCTCCTATTTTATTTTTTGGTAGAAAAACAAATCAATATAATTTCTTGAAATTTTCACAGAGTTTTCTTCACATAGAGAAGGAAAAACAGGGAAGTTTTTAAGAACTAACTTTTAGTAGTTTTCCATTTAAAAAAAAACTATGACAGGAATTCTACAGCATCTGGATACCAAGATACGTCATCTGGTATTTTCACCGTCTAAATGTAAAAATTCTTTTACACGTTCATCCACTAACGTCAATCTGTTGGCAGTAAATAAAAAATTCAGATAATTTTTTTTTACATAAATCCCTCACAAATTCTAATTTTGTTTTCTCTTTCAGCTTGAGAGGGATGACTCTGTGACTGAAATAGACATTTTGAAAGATAAACTAGAGAAGAGCCAGACCACTCTCTTAAAAGCAATCGAAGATAAAGAAACTGCTAACAAAGAATTCGAGAGACTTCTTGAGAAATACGACAGGTAAGCCAAAGAAGAGTAATTTTCATCGTTCTTCTTTTCTCTTTCATTTTGATGAATTTAAAAGCTTTGAATACTTAAAAATCAAGTTATCTTGAATGACATCTTTGAAAATATTGCAATTAACAAATTTGTTCACATAAATTTTTAGGATTTTCAAACTCTTCATGAAAAAGGCTCACAGATAAAAGTTTGAGCAGAGGTAAGAAAAAAAAACTCACGGCAAAAAAGAGGTGCTTTTGCATTAAGTAGTATTGTAGAAGTTGATGAGAAGAATCTGAAACCAATGTATGCCAGCTAATAAAATTGCAAAATTATCTGAAAAGAAAGTAGTGAAAAGAATGACAATGTTGTTCATCTTTTAATACGTCAAACTTTTTGTCTTTTCCAGAATACAAAGTGAAGTTTACCGCCTTCAAACCAAAGTAGAAGCTGCAGAATCTGATAAATCTCGAAACGACATAGAGATTGAGAAAGCACAAGCGGCAGCAGCAAAAGCTCGCGAAGAACAACGCAAGTTGCAGGAAGAGTTGCAACGTGTACAAGAGCTTTATGATAGAACTGTACTTCAACTAGGTAGAACCAAAGAGACAGAGGACAAATTCAAGGACGATATTGACAGAATGAGCGTTGACTTAGAAATGATGCGTGAGCGCTACGACAAATCCCAGATAGAACTGCGACGACTGCAAGCAGATCGAGAAAAATTGCAGGCAGAGAGTGACCGATTTACATTTGAGCTTGAACGCGCCCACAATCAAAGCGCAAAATCTCAAGCGGCATATGAAAAGGGCCAGGAGGAAATAGCAAGGTTATCCATTGAAATTGAAAAAATGCACGACAAAAATGACAAGCTTCAAACAGAGTTCCGTAAGGCACAGTTGGAGCTTGAAAGATACCGCTCTGATGCAGAAACCTTAAAGCAAGAGAGCGAACGATATGCAGCAAAGGTCGGGAAATTCCAAGAGAGTACAGCAGAAATAGAAAGACTTCGTGAGAGTTGTGAGATGATTAAAGGTAAATATAATTACGAACAGGAACGAAATGAGAAGCTAAGTAAGAACAATGAAAGATTAGAGAGCAGACTGCATGAGTTACAATTGGAAGTTGAAATGCGGCAGGCGGAGATTTCTAAGCTAGTGGCTTTACACGAAAAACACCAAAAAGAAATAGAAAGAATCCACATAGAGTGTGAGAAGATTCGCGATAAACATGAGAAGACAATGTTTGAAAACGAACGACTGAAGAATGAACTGAGTAGCAGAGGCCCGCAAGATGCGGACGCTGAAAGGCTCAGAGACAGACTGGAGAAAACTCAACAAGCACGAGAGAAGGTTGAGGTGGAACTAGGAAAGATGTCACGTGAACTTGAGCGACTGCAATTAGAAAACGAGCACCTTAAATCCGAGCGAAATAGGGTCGGAGACGCAGAACTGGAGCGTGTTAGGGAACGACTGAACCAAACGAATCAAGTTAGAGAGAAACTTGAGCTGGAGGTCGGCCGTCTTACCCGGGAGTTAGAAAAATCGCAGCAGCATCTTGGAAAATACCAGGAGACTAATGAAGCAACACAGATAGAATTCGAAAGAATGTCAACTGAAATAACTCGGATGCATGAAAAGCTTGAAAAGACTCAGTCCGAGCTGAGGAAGATCTCTGACGAGAAAGTCCGCCTGGAGAATGAACTCTATCAAACTAAACGAGCCTTAGAACAAGTACAAACATCGCAGCACAGCGGTGATCATCGACTGAAAGAAGAGTTCATGAAATTGCAACAGGAATACGCACAAGCTTGCCGCGACAGAGATAGGATGGCTGGCGTTTCAGAAAAACGCGGACAGCAGTTGGAGAAGATCGAAAACCAAATGACTAAAATGGAGGACGAGTGGAAACAACTAGTTTTAGAGCGAGACCAGCTGGTTTTGCAGCTGGAAAAATCCCAGGAAATGCTAATGACATTCCAACAAGAGCTGCAGCAGTCAGAGGCAGAACTCAGCCGAGAGAGAGATGAAATGAAGCGACTCAAGACTGACCAAAGTAGAAATAAGGACAGCAGTAAAGCAGCTTCCGACCAAGAGCTGATGAAACTGCAACAAATACTGCAAGCTAAGGACCAGGATATCCAGAACCTGCATCAGCACTTGCAAGCGAAGGACCGCGAGCTGGCTAAACTCCAACAGCAGCTGCAACAGCTATCACAGAATGTTAATCGCGAGCGGCAACAGATCATGGAACAGGAGCTTGAAAAATGGCAACAGATAGTGGAGGTTGAACGACAGAAGTCAGCGGAGTTGCAAAAACAGGTCCAGATCCTATCGCAGCAGTCGAGTCAAGGCAATGAGATGATAAAGAAAGTACAAATGCTCGAGAAGCAACTCCAAGCGGCACAAAAAGAGACCGCGGAGACAAAAGATAGTTACGCTAAGCGCGTACAAGCATTGGAGAAACAGTTGCAGACGCAACAGGCTGGAGCTTCTGGCGACGTTCAGAAGTTGCTCAAAGAATTGGAAAAAGCACACGCGGAACTCAAGAACTTCAGTGTGGAGAAAGATCGGCTCCAGTCGCAATTAGAAATGCTTGTTCAGGAGCTCGAGAGAAACCAGGTGAGTTGGAGGATAGCCCAAACTTATTCTCTCATTGATGTTAGATTGAACGTGCACTCTTCAAGTTATCTTATTGTTTGATAGTGATAATCTATTAGTACAACTTCACTTGAGAAGAAAAAGTTTTAAACGGGGATTCAAGATTATGCCTACAGACAAAGAAATAAATATTGATGCCAAGAAATTCCAATTTCCACTACAAAGCAGCAAATGCTCCTGTGTACAGAAAAAAATAAAATAGACTAGCAGAGAGGTTCTGCAACCAAGTGAAGAAAAAAGAATAATTTTTCAATTCTAGAATATTAACATCAAACTTGATTGGTTGGTAGTATTTCGTTGAATCTTTTGAGAATCGTTGAGTAAAAAAAAAAAGAATTAATTGAGAACTCGTAAAAATGATGAAAGAGAAAAATAATTATGAGCACTTTCCTTGTCTTGTAATAAGCACTTTTGGAAAAGTCATGTAGGGTATGTAGTGGCGCACACACCTAGATGTAGGTGTAACCTTTGTACCTGATAAATGCATGTTAAATTAAAACAGGATCAAAGAGTTGCCTTAGATGGAATTCTTGATGAGCACAAACATTTCTTTCATAGATGCTTGCTTTGATATTTCTAGGAAAAATAATTCAAATTACAGGAGAAAACAAAATCCCTAATTCTTTAAAAAAAAAAAACCCTTTCATTTATAATGTAAATACATTGATTTAATTTAGAATGGTCTCCTATAAAGTAATCTTTGTAAATTTCCAACCTGTTTATGTTCGATTTTACCAGTTGGGTATCCTCCAACCCATATGCCTGCTTCTGCTCGTTAATGTTGCTCTTTGTATGATCTCATTTTCTTTTGCTCGTCTTTTCATCTCCGTTCTGTTTACATTCTTTCGTTCCTTCTTTTGCGAATGCAGTTTGCTCTCTATCACTTCACTTCTATTTCTTTTCCTGTCTCTTTTGATCTTTTTGATGTTTTGCAATGTAATTGTGACAAGAAGCGGATGTTGGATGATTTTCCGGTACATTTTTTGCTTCATCTGTACAGGTATCTATCAGTATTTTGCTATCTAAGATACTTCAATCAGCAGGAAGGATTGTTATTAAATGTACATGAGAGATTTTCATTTACAATTACATTTGCTTACTTTGCATTTCAAATATTTCTAGGGAACCTGGAAAAAACATAAATCTTTGAAACATTGGCAGTTTTCACATGTTCATCAGTTTGTAATACTACATGTTCACATAGGAAAGTGTAAAAAAAAATAGATTTCCCTTCAAGCTCTTTCAGATGAAAGTTCAATGAAAAAACTAATCACCATCAGCTTTTTTAGCATTTGATTTCTTGCTTTATTTTTTCCAGAGATCAATTATTATTTTGTTTTTTTCGTTGATTTTTAGATTATTCTCCCTCATCATATCAGAACGTGCTATTGCTGAGATACAATGATACCGTATAGTTTTTTTTGTCTTTAATGCTTAATTTTTTTTTTATTCTTTTATATTATAATAATTTTTTTTCAGCGACTTCCAAATTAATCTTTTAATTTGGAGGTAAAAATTTTCAAAATCAAATGAGAGCATTGGAATTCAAACCACTAAGCAGTTTTTATCACTCAGTTCTCAGTTGTATATTTTTCATTTTTTATTTACTTCAAATTCATGGAAATTACTACACACGAGAAGCTCAAGTCTCATGAAAAACATTTTTTTTTAAAATCAACCCATGAAAAGCCCTCTGATGCGCCACAACTGATTTCAGTGCATTTAATTTGTATTGTAACAGTGAGTTTAACGTATTTATGTGTAATTTGTTTTTACTTATTGTTTCTTTCCTTCCTTTTTCATTATGTGTCATAATCATTTGCAGTTTCTGCACAAAATTTTAGTCTACTGGGCTAGGGAAAAAACGTTGAATGACCAAAATAATTTTTTTGACAGACTTAAGGTTTTAACCAATAAAATATGACCTTAAATACTTGAATAATACAAAAATTACAGCTCATTAATTTCAGAACTATAGACTATGTCTTGGAGAAAAATAATCTTAGTAAACAAGTCATAGACCATTCAACGTTTGCAGCATGGCAATATTATTCTGGACCTCATATGTGTCTATTTCTGATCAAAACCTTCACTTTGCATGTTTATGAGCCACCCTTGCTTATCATTTTAAAAACCTTAAGATTGTTTTGATCTCAAAAATGCAATAACTTTGAATCCTGGACAGCCGTTTCTACTTCCCAGAATGTCTAAAGATTGCACGAAAAAAATTCTCAGACTTTTCTGATCAGCAATCTGTCGGAGTATAAAAAGTAAATGAGAACAAGAAAAATGAGAGGCGATTTCTGCCTATACTGTAGTAAGACTTTTTCAATTGAATTACAAAGTTTTAGGTCTTTGTTCCAACGGTTTTGAGAGTTTTAAAAATAATGGAAAATCAAATCAAAATCGGTCTTTACTGTGAAGTTGCAAACATTGTTGAGTAAATATTGTCTTCTGTTTTCCTCAGATTTTTCAACGTCATAGACACCCTGTTTTGATATGAAAATGATTTAAATAACAGGTGGCACAATTCTTGATTAATCATAGAATTCTGCGTTACGGAAAAAAAGTGGGAACAAATGTAAAAAAAATAAGTGCAGCCACATTTATAGTTGTCTCAACCATACTTCTGGCTACTGTTAATATCACCCGGCAATATAGTTAAAATTATAATACTTTTTTTCTGTCTGGTTATTAATTTCATTTAGCATGTACTGACCTGTCATTGACCGAAAGAAGAAATGCAAATGACAAATGTTATTAATTGTTAACTGTCATCTGAATGCTGGATTTTTGCATTTCTTTCTATCATCACAATGTCTTTTTCTTTATTATCTCACTTTACTATATTGCTCCCTATTTTATGAAATACCTGCATGTGACTGTTGTGTATTGTTAATTTGAAAGTTTAAACTCATCTTGTTCGGGGCATTGAGAAAATCCTTGAAGGTTTTCAAGGTTGCATTTGACATTGGTGCTCTTTGTCAGGAATGACACATGATGGAGGCAATTAGTTCATTCATCTTGTGAACATGTACATTTTGGATGAAGGATAATGAGAGGATATGAGTGAAATCAGAAAAAAATGGGTCCTGTAAAATGGAACACCACTGAGCAGAAAACATCTGAGAAAAAAGACTTTTTAAAAAAAGGTTGCCACAATTTTCATTTTTTCCCCTTTATTTTTAAGCTCTGCATAGGTTACAAAAATGTGCATGCCTAACTATTTTTCATGTTATGTTTAGATGGAATTTTTATGGAAAATATTGTCATGAAATATCATGAAAACAAAAATTTACGAAGCTTGTCTAAATTTTAATGTTTACATATTTGTTACAGCTGGAACTTCACGAAGCCAATCAGAGGATCGCAGCTGGCGCAGCGAAAGCTGGCGAAGAGACTTCCGCTCTCAAGACACAACTTGATGAGCAGAAGAAGCAACTAGAGAATCAACGTAGAAAATTAGATGAACATAGAAAAGGAATAGACACAAGGGCCAAGCAGTTAGAGGATAAGGAAAAAACACTAGCAGATTTAGAATTGAAACTAAAGAAAAGAAAAGAAAACTTGGACCAGTTAGAAGCTCAAAAAGTAAGTAGACGAATTACAAATTTTTAGAGACAAATTTCAATGAAATTGTTCTCTTTTTTTTATTGAAACAAGGAAAGCTAATAATGACTTCTGTGAGGTACCTTGAAGGAAGATTCTCTTCCATTTTGGTGATTAAAGTCTAAAAATATGGTATTTCAATTTTTGTTGGCTTTGGGATAGTTGAAATAAGTATAATGTTTTAAGAGACGCTTCCTTGATACGTACAGAAGATTAAGTTAAATAGAATCAGGGGATGACTTTAAAGCACAGAATTACTGAAAACAACTTCTTTACCTTTTTGGAAAATGAAGAGTATGTTTTACCTCCTAGAAAATAGAGTTTTTGGAGCGATAAATTTTTTGATTTTAGCCATTAGTGGGCTTCGTTTTGAGGACTGAAAAATTTCAATTTACAACTATTTGAGATCTTAAAAATTCTTACAAGAGAAATAGGCAAGAGCAGCTTTTGGGTACATTACCTGAGTGATGCATTACCACCCATGAGCTGATTTGGTTGAACACTTGAGACAAGAACACAGCACAACATATGGAAAGATGTGTTTTGGTTGTGTGGGAATAAGACTTGTTTCGAATTCACTCAGTTTTTAGTTTTTGCTTTCATTATCTGCAAACTCCTGAAAAAAATGACTATTAATTAATTGGGGGAAAAATATAGGTAATTGTGAAACAATTCATCCAGAGAAAGTCTTTCAATGAAATTACAAAATAATAATTCAAGCAGATGGCTTAAAATTCTGATGAAATTGACGAAAAGTTTAGCTACATTACACAATATTATAGCTATAAACCTTGAACAACATTGAATTTTAGCTCTCAGACTACTTTAACTTTTGAAATAAGTATAATTTTGGAGATATTTCAGGGTGTTTGTTTAAATATTTGAGAATGAAATTTCCATCCGAGCTCCCTCAGTCAAACTGACAAATTCCCTTCCCTCATCCGATCAATGATCTGCCGGCTTGCACGATCTATTACTTGATTTGAAAGCACTCAAATTTTCTACTAAAACTAAAATTTTCTATCGAAGTTAAAAGTTTCTGAAATATTGATTTTGGTGATCTAAAAAATTCGTGAAAGACAAAAATTTGAGTCTTTCTTCGTGAGATTCCTGCATTTAATATTAAATTTGCAATTTTTCTGTTTTTTTTCCTCTACAGGGTAGTAAATCAGTAGCAGATGTTGAAGCAGTGAGACAATTGGAGGAGGAACTAAAGGCATACCAACTAGAATTAGAAAAGAGCAGGGAGGATGCAAAACGAGCTCAAACAGAAACAGAAAGACTTTTACAGTTAGTTCAAATGACCCAAGAAGAGCAAAACAACAAAGAAAAACAAATTAGGGACCTCCAAGAGTAAGTAAACCCGCATTTTCACAATTTTTCAATTTGATTTGTTTATCCCTGCTTTTCCTTCCTTACGTGATTGACCCATTATAAGTTTTCTACCTGTCCTATGAAAAAATTACCATGCCAAATAAATACTATCCCGAAAAACTTCTGGGGATGACATACTGAAGAAAATTGACATTTCATTCTGCAAAAGATCAACAGGGAAAAAGGACACAAGAGAATGATGTAATCATTTAATTTTTAATGCAAAAGAACCCCGCACAATTCAACCACAATAATGGCATATTTAATCAACTTTGTTGCCCAACAAAGAGACCCTCAATGACACAATCGTATCAAAAATGACACCTCGAAACTTCAAATTTCTTGAAGCGACGAACTATCTCTGTATTTAAGATTGAAGAGGAAAACAAAGCCAGTGCTTGTTGGACTGTGTCAACAAGCTTAGGTGTGAAGGTTTCTTTGATGAGCTTTCTAAAGTTCATGTTCACTTGTGAGTTGACTATGATCATAATTTCTTCAAATTAGTTTGTAATCGTTATTAGCGTCAAAAAATTGACTGACACTGAGATATTTCTGGATAAGATTTTTGATTCTTCTTATTGGTTCCTCTCTTTGCAAAATGACATTAACATGACCTTTGCATTTATCAAGATGCACAATAATCGTCAGAGCTGGAGCACAACCTTGACAAAGAATACATCATGTATAAAGTAGCCTTAGCATGAGCAGAATCCCTATTAGTATTAAAAATCTGTGGAGTGTCAATATAGAATACTAGGGGGCTACGCCCTCTGGCCGCTACGCGGCCCAACCCCCTGAAGGCGCTCCGCGCCATCAATGGGCCTATTTTTACCCTCCTATCAGTGTTAGGTTTATTTTCCCCCTAAAAAATTACGATATGATGTATACTTTACTTGTAGAATGAAATAATTTTTGGTTTTGATGAATAAAGAAAATAAAAATTTTTTGAAGTCAAAAGAAAGCGTTTTAGAATGACAACAACGAACAATGATAATCAGGTAATAATTAAGTATATCAAACGTCGGGAATCGAACCCACATCGTAGTCAAAGTGGACGCATTCGACATCTTAGACGACTCGGCCACCGCTCGTCTTGAGGAAGAAGGTGCGAATCTTGTGTAGATAAGTATAGAGCTGATGCGCAGGCTACACATCCACTGCGCAACCTCTTCGACCACTGCGCATCCTCCCGCGCATAGCGGTAGCAGTCCCGGAGCATTCTGTAAATTCACTCACTTTTATAACGTGATTTTAAAAAAACCTGGGTCCTATTTCCAAAATCTAATTAGAGCGGGCTCATCTAGGGCCAATTACCTGTCGATCTACGCAAAAATCATGGAAATCGGCCCGGTAGAACGCTCAAACGAACTATGACAAAAAGTATAAATTTACATTGTTTAAATGGGAGAATTCGCAACTTAACCACGTAATATAAAAAAACCTGGGCCATATTTTGAAAATCTGAAAAGAGTTGGCTTATCTAGAGACAATTGCCCGTCGATAGCCGCAAAAATCATGAAAATCGGCCCGGTAGAAGGCTGGAACTAAGCGTCACCAGTTTCGCAAAATTAGGAGGTCTTGGAGCTTATAGTATAGATTACCTTATTTAATTATCAAAGAAGATTTCGAGCTTGTTATCCGACAGTTCTTCACTTGAGGAGGCATCTCTTGCATCAGGTTTGGAGTCTTAAGCTAGCGGTCAAATGGCATTAAGAGCAGTTTTGTTGGAGCTCCTGATGGTAGAGAGTAAAAAAAAAAAAAAAAAAAAAAAAAAAAAAAAAAAAAAAAAAAAGAGGGACATGTTCCAGGACAGTAGGCATGAGTCGCGTCGTTTTACACCTGAAGAGACAACAAGAAAAGTGTTTCAGTAAACATAAACCCTTAAAAACCTTCTAATTTATTGGAAAGTGAAACTAAAAAACCTTTATAAATTTTCAGAGCACTGAAAGCTGCACAGTTAAAATTACGAAATGCTGCGGCAGCTGGAGCACAAGGACGAAAAGATGACGAGGTAATGTATTTTCTTCTTAACAGTTTAACATTTCAGATCTTGAGTGATTTTGATCATTGATAAAAAATTCCGTGAGAAGAAGTAATTAATTAAAGTAGAAACACCCAATCAAACCAAATGCCTAAATCGATAAGATTTCGTCATTGAAACATAATTGGAAACATTCAGTTAGCAATAATAAATGAGTCACAATGTTAGCAATAATAAATGAATCAATTTGATTTTCCAAAACTTCCAGAAAAAATTGCAAGACTTTCGACAAAGGTTGAGTGGTACATACCCATGTTAGGAGGAGCTGAATAAAAAGTTAATCAAATTATAAAAAATCCTTAATTTGGACATTGGTTTGTTGGCTTGATTATTTTTTGTGAGCTAATTCCACAATACTAATCATTTTTTACCTCTGTTTTCCTTACCCACCTTTCCTCCTCAAAAAACCTTGTTGTTTCCTACATCCCGACTGTTATGATTATAATTTAAATGCACATTTTCTTTTCTATTTTATTGATTTTGGTTCTTGTTTTATTTTTCCATTTCTTAATTTTAATTTTGGTTTTTAACACTCATCACAAACAGGCTGGTCCTGCTGGCTTCTTAAAAAGCTTCTTCTAAGTTAGCAGAAGCTGTGTCTACTTTCTTGTGATAGATTTTAATTGACTAAGACAAAAAATATTAAGTATTCTTTTAATATTTATTTATTTTACCAAATAACTCTTATCGACTGACGTAAAAGCATTGAAAAAAAAAAAAAAATTATGTTTGTTTATAAAATGTACACTACAATGCTTACTCTAATAAATTTTATCCAAGCAAATCTACCCTTAAAAATTTAGCCTAATTATTTTCTTTTGAGAGTTAAGCATTAAATCATATCGTTTTAAACTACAGTGACTAAAGTTGCTGACACAGCTAAAACCAAAGAATAAATTAAACTAGCCCAAAATATAGTCTCGTAATTTTAATATTTTGTTGTACATACTTCTGCAAAATACTCGTAGTTGGAGGTTTTGTAAAGAAATATTTCGTGACTAAACATAGTTTAGCAATTGTTTTGTGGTGAAGTGTTAATACTGTAAAAATCTGTATATTTTTGTTTCGTTTATAATTTTATAAAAGATTTCAACAGACCGAAGTCTCCATTTTTTGTTTCTGTAAATATTTTTACTTTTCTTGTTGATTTTTTACGCAATTTTTATTTTTATTGTCTTCTCACCCCAATCCCTGCGTTATTAGTCCACCTACGATAGCATCCCTAATTCAGAGGAAATAAAAAGCGTGACCGACGATTCCAAGCAACAGCAACAGCGAATCGTTGCACTAGAGAGCCAGGTGAAATGTCTGGAGGAAGCTTTAAAAAGTCACAGTATCGACGAACTGGAGGATCTTTTGGATGTGGTATCGCTGAAGGATGCACGAATTGAAGAGTTGGAGGAGGCGTTGAAGGAAAGTGTTCAAATCACTGCTTGCCGAGAAAGGGACCTCCAGGAGGAAGAAACGCGGAGAAAAAGAATTGTAGAGAAGGTGAGTTGTTGACAGCAGATTTGTAAATTTAAACAGAATGTAAATTTGGTCCAGAGCAGAAATTAAGAGTATAAACGGACAAGGATTCTTAGAGGTGATAAAAACTGAGTAAATTACTGAGGCTAAAATATCTTCTAAAAAAATCTACCTGAAAGGCATTAAGGAAAAAGTTTAGGTATTTTTAGAGGTGCAGTTTTGTCTCAATTTTTTTTAAAGAACTATATTCCCACAGGATTCACTTGCGCAAATAGCGATGATTTGTGCAAAGGACTCTCATAAAATATCATTATTGATAAAAATCTATAGCAATTCTGGTGAAAAAGAAATATAAATTTTTTTTTATTCTGTTTCAAATCATTAGGATAAAAAAAAATTCACCAGTGAAAGTTGAGCTACAAATATCAGACAAACCACTCAGACTTTATTGGCAACTTCTTTCATGGATTTGAATTGGAAAAGCAAGAAGTATAATTATGTTACTAACGATACACATTGTTTTATGCTTCAGGTTAACACTCTTGAACAACGATTTTTATCAATACAAGGAGCACGAACATTGAGATGCACTACTTGTAGACCACTAATAACAAGACTACAAGAACTGGAACAAAGGTTGACAGAGCTGACCACTGAGCGAAAGCAACATTTAAGGGAATTGATGTTGATGAAGTAAGTTTAAACATGATTTCCGTAAATGTGGCAAAAAAGTTCCCTGAGTCAAGTGTCTACTATTATCCTACAGAAAACTTTAAGTACTACTCAAGAATATCATCCTAACCATTGGACGAAGAGAGTACCTATCTGTTTTAGAGAAACATCAAGTAGGCACTTTTTTACTGCAAAAGAGTGGACTACTTGCTACATAATTCTTAGAAAATGATTGTAGCAGCAGGTTTTGCTTCTGTCTTTCATAATCTTTCATAAGTAGTATGATGAATACATCACTTTTAGGAAGGCCGCTTCCACCAACACATATGACATTGAAAATGTTGGACACCGTTCATAAATTTCCTGTATTTTTTCAGTGCTATCCTGTATTATTGTAGCCTTCTTATAATTGTTCTACAATTTAGAACTTTCTGCATTTATGCACAACCTGTAGGTATCTCTCATTCAAACATTTGCCAATTTCATGACTTTTTTTCTAATTTACATATTTGCAGCTATCAACAGATTTCAATTCTGAAGTTACATGGACCTATAAATTGGTGCCAAAAGAAAAAAAAGGCTAGTTACACTCAATTTACATAAACATTACTTGAGCGGAGAATTTACCTTGATAAAGTGAACAAATGCGAGATGGAGGAGGAGAAATTGCACTTGGAGAGCAGGCATCTTAGTTATAAAATGAAACAGGATTTGATTATGTTCACCTGTCTTTTTGGCTGATCGTCTATTATTTTAGCACTGTTAGACTTCTGAAAAAAAGAAGTAGCGATTAATTAGTAAATAACAGGATTTTGGAACAGGTTAGTCATAGAGAATAGAAAACCTGAATTTTACTTGTACCATTACAATGCAAGAATCAATTGAATAATTTTACCACTTTATCAGCTGCACTTATTTAGCAACAAATGAAGCATCATAATCTTGGTGTTTTTACACTCAATCTGCTGAAAATAGATATACATTTTTATTTGGAACCATTGTCCACTCTACATAAGACCGTTTTTTGATGGTGTAAATGAATTCAATTCAGTGAATTTTTCCATGATTGATAATACTTTTTTTTTATTAGTTCTTTAAAGAAACTTCAAATGTTTGTTTTACAGACAAGAGGCATTGGAGGCAGCCATAAGCGAGAAAGATGCTCACCTAGCCTTGCTGGAAATGTCAGGTATTCGTACGGCCAAACAAGCAGCACAAGCTGAACGACTAAGAACTGATCGGACACGTCTTACTCAAAGACTAAAATTGGAGGTAGGAATCTCATAAAACATTTTTCAATGCTCAAAAATTTTCAGGACTATTTGCAAGCAGCCAACTTTGTCACTGTTATGCAATATGTTGTGGGAAATCATAGTTTGCAAATGGAAATAGTTGGGTTAAAATTCTATAATACTAAAATTAAAGAACTGGTGACTGAATGAAAATTGAGAAGTTCCAACCAGTATCAAAAATTTCTTCCCTTTTTACAGGATTGTTGAGATAATGTCTTGAGGCTTTTATTAATCCTGATCAACGGTAAATTAAGCGGGGAAAAATAATTGGAAAGTTAATTATTTGTTCTACTGAATTGTAGTTTGAGGAATAAAATTCCAAACGAATCATTTTCCAAATGAATCCATTTTTCAAATGTAAGATGATTCCCACTTATTGTTAACATACCTTCCAGCTAAAAAAGAGGATTTGTCCTACTTTGTTAACAAAAAGTTTTATTGTTCACTCATAGTCACATAGGTAATAAATATGACTAGAACCTGAATATTGTTCACTTTAATTCCACTGACAACTTCAGCAATGTGACTATCTACAAAATTAAACACAGTACTATGTTTGCTTCTAGACGGAGAACAGTGCATTTTTAATCCAAGAAAAGCATGATGCATGCAGTTCGAGTGGTTCCACTGATGATGAGGAAATCTCAATACCTGTGTCCACAAAACTTTCAAGTGTAAGTGTAACTAAAATTTATTTTTGTTTTTTGCTGGTCTATGAGCTTTAGCCACCAAAACTTGACTCTGTGACTAGCGCAACAAACTCATTTTCTGGCTAAAAATATAGCTACTATAAGAGCAAGTTAGGATGTTTTTTGACTAGCGCCACATGAGGTCTTTGAGCAGATATTCATCATTTGGCGAGTGCTGTGAAAAAAATTTGTACTCGGCTTGAAATTCTTGGGTTCTAACTTTAAATAAACTTTCGTAGTTGTCAAGAGCAAACTCCTCAGACACTAACAAACTGAATAAGTTTCTAACATAGTAAAAGTAATAATTTGAGGATGTCATGCATTTATCATTATTTGAAAGTTGTCAATGCGATACCCCCCATTATGATTAACAAAAGTTTCCATCTACTTTCAGATGAACGGGAAACTCTCCACAAAGCATCCTGAGAATGAAAAAACATGAAACGAAAGCTACAAATTGACCTTGTGTAAAAATTTCCGTAGTCTTTCCTTTTTCAGCGCACAAAGATCTTGTAAATAAGTGTTTAAGACGCGATTTTCACTGCCTTTTCGTCATTATCAATCCTGTACAAAAATACTTTGCCAGTGAGCAAACTGCAAATATACCATGAAGGAAATTGCCTTCCTAAATGTTTTTCTCCGGTTTTAAAGGTTGTTGTTTTTTTTTCCATTAAAAATCTAGAGTTTGCATCCATTGATTTGTATATTTCAATTGATCTTAGGTTTTGCAGTTTGGTCACTACATGATTTGTTTTTAAAGCATGTAAAAGTTTGTTTCAGAGGAGTAGGCTGTGAGAAAAAGGTATGATCACATTTTGAAAAAAGGCTCTGAGATGATAATCTTGTCTGGTTTCCCTAGTTTTTCAAAAAGCTTCATTTCACCTATCATACATGAATTAGGTGAATACTCAGCCACTTCCACAATTACAGGTTGCTACTGTCACTGATGCCTCTAGCAATTTAAGATCATTAAAATACCTGCTCTTATGAAGCAAACTTACGATAAAACATGAAAATGTATTTTTTGAGATCTCCTTACATTGATTATTGACGCTAATCGGTGGAAGTATCGCAAGCTAAATCGCTAAGTCAAAATTTTTCATACCGAAATACATTGTTAATCCTAATTATCCATGAAATTCCATGGTTTTGTTACCAATGTTGTGCTAATTACTGACTGAATATTCTCATTTTTAGTATTCAAATTAAACTTCCTGCATTGACTTTCATTAGTTCTTGGTTGTCAAAGATCGACTAAAGAACGAACCTTTCATCTGCAACATTTTCTTCTGATTTGTTGATTGCTTGGAGCAGAAATAAATACACTCACATGTATTACCATACATGGATTACAATACACAACTTTGATAACCATGAGAATGAAATGCATTCGTTGCATCTTAGATAAGGCCGTTAGAGTTTGGAAATATTGATGTTTGGAATCTGCGCCTCGCTCTGTAGCAGCAGGCAGAGGCTAACAACTTGCGTGTTGAGAAATTCTAAAATATTAATTGTTGTGTTATTTTGTTTTAAGCTCTGAGCTGCTCACTGCGCAATATTACACACTCTCTAACTACTTAATCCAAGCTGTGGTGCTTTTAAGCATTGAATTTGGGGTTGGACTTAACCACGCCTAACTAAATGATCTGAAATTTGACCAAAGTATTTTTGATCTCGTTTGTACTTTTGCCGATTAGCATTTTTTTGAAAACTCAAATTTTTTAATCTTATTATTTTTTCATTTTTGTGGATTAGAATTCTGTGCATTGTTAATGTGTTCACAAATTTAATTTACTGTTGAAAACTAATGCGATAAAAGTAAAATCTTTTTCCATTTTTTTCCAGAGAAAGTCGTGAATTGTTTAAGCAAATGTTATTAACTGCATCGAAAAATACAATCATCTCATATAATACATTTAATAATAAAAAAAACTTGATAATCGGATAAAAGTCATAGGTATTCTTCACATTGGCATTTTTTTAAAAATAAACTGCTAGAGACTTTCTACTTTTAATAATCCCAGATGAATTTCTAACAGGATGAAGAAGTTATAAGCATTGATGAGAAAATTAAAGGAATTTCTACCTATACCTAAATTTAAAGCCTGTTTCTATTCTATATTAAATTAAGCATTGTTAGGTAAGACTTTGACATCGTTCTACAATTACTTTTCTTTGAGTTATAATAAACAGAATGAAACTGTCCCATTAAATATTTATTAAGCCATGACTATTTTTGCTATTCTAAGTCAAAAACTTTAATGACACTGACTGCTTGAAATTTGATGATTTCGACTGAAAATTATTTTTTTCTTTCGAAAAGAAAAGCTGTAAAATATTTTTCCTTATTTTATAAAAACCATGAAGAGTAATTTTTAAACAACTTAATTTCTTATTTGTCCTGCTACTTGTTAGACATTCACTTGTTACACTAATCATCATATATATAAGTGTTAACATTTGATTTAATGTGTTACATACTTGTTTATAATTGTTATACATGAATGTTTTATTATTTATAAAGTTTGTAATAAGTGTATAAAATGAAATTATTGATAGTTGTTGTTTTGTTCATTTGATTTGATTCATTTGAGTCTCTTTCCTTTTAAGTTAAGGTCATGATTTTTGTTCAAACGTTTAAAAGCTTTTCCAAAGCAATATCTCATTACACTGAACTAATAATAAATCCACTTTTCATGTTCGTTATGCGAATCTTTTCTGAATAAATTACTATTCATTTTGCCAACATCCATTCACTAGTGATGGATATTAATAATGGAAATTGTTAATATTGTGACAATAAAGAATTAAAAATAATTTTTGGATGCCCCTTCAAACTTTTGACAACAGCAGTTTATTTTCTTTGTTCCTTAATTTCTTTTTCAAATAAGAAATGCCCACCCTCTTCTGGACTAAAATTTAACCTTTCTTAAAAGTTGTCTTTTGTAATGCTTGATGAGAACATTTTTAATACATCTGATTTAGTAGTGCCATTAAATTTTAATATTTTTCTTTTGATCTGTTTTTAAAAACTTTTGATAAAACTGAGTTGCAAAGTTCAACTCCGTGCATATGTCTGGTTTTTTATTGAAACACTATTTAAAAAATAGCGTAAATATAAAAATATTGCTGGGATTAGGATTTTATTTTTTGTTCTCAACCTTAAAGTTGTTTCATGGAAAGACAGCAACTTTAAACACGCTATTCAGAGGCCTTTAGCAAAACCTTCCACTGTATTTTGTTGCAGACCTACACATCCTGAGATTCACCAGACACCTATTCTCTCATACTTAGCACTATGCCATTCCAACCAAACTTTCGATTAACTCAATTGTGCATACTTAACAGTCGTTAAACTTATTGTTCTGTTGTTTAATATCACCGTGGGTGACTGCAAAAAAGCCTAATCAATTAAAAAAAGCCTTAAACAGAAATCTCCTCTCTACTGGTAATAATCATGTTGTCCAAATTAAAAAGGGGCTAAGGAAAATTTTTCGTTTAGCACACCTGCATTATCTGGCTCTCAATCTCCTTTGCATTTCCATTTTTATTTTAAGCTTAAAAATGTAACATTTCATTTGTAAAACATATCACTACTTGTCATTTTGAATCATATTTTGTCTAATAGAATTAAAGACATACCTACTTAATTATAAAATGATTAAAATACATTCAATGTAATGCAAATGTTGAAACATATGGAGTTTTATTTTCTTCCTTACCACTGGACCAAACTCAAGGTACTTTACCTCAGTAATCACAAGCGGTAACTTGCATCTACCAGGCTGACCAGATCCTCTCTTTTTCAGTCGCCTTGTAAGGACATCATCAACCTGCAGATTCAGCCTCCTCCTACACTATATGTATGACATCGGTGTCAGGGGTTACTACTGCATTCAAAATGCCATTGATTGTGGAGCCTCTTGAGGCAGCATACTTGAAAAAACTTGCCTGAAAACAAGATAAAAATGTGACACGATTAAAATGACAGAAGAGACGTTGTTTACATGCTTTTACACAAAGCCTTCAAAAAAATAAATAAATAAATTAAGGATCCGAGTACATATGAGTACAAACAAAAAGTAATGAGACCGTGCAGAGGCCAGTGCAAAACTATATTTCAAAACCTCAGAGAAAATAAAGAGACTAATGGGAAAAATGATTGAAACATTCCTGCTCACTGATTTTTTTGAAGAAAAAAGTCCAACTTTTGCACAGAAAATGAATATACTTAGTTTTAAAAATAGGCGACAAAGGTATAAAGCTGGAAGCTAAGAATATACAATAGGGGGCTTAACATTTTCAGGACATTGCTGAGCATCAATATAAATTGTGACACAACTTGCGACCATGGCTACATGACATTAAAGCATAAAAACCAAAAAAGAGTCCAAGCCTCCGTTTTTTGCTTTGAATATTTCTCGCGGCAGATTTTCTGGGAAATTTAGAGGACGATCTAGGAGTCATTTAAAATGACGCTGATAAGTTGGAGCCCGGAGGATGACTAGTTTTGGCTTCCGTGAGCTCTTCTGCCTTCTTTGTAAAAGGTGCGGACGAGAAAAATAATCCTTTCATTCAGAGAGCTTTTGTTATCTTACTCCCAAAAAAGGCAGATCATTCCTCACCCAAAGGATATTTTTGTAATAGTATAAGCGAAGCGACCACACAACAATATACGCGGCACGGTAATTCTGCCTGCTAAGGAAGAACGCCGTATGAACATTCGAGAGTTGCCAAATTTCCTTCAATTAAATGTTTATTTTTGAGGAAAAATATGAATATTTTTCCTTGAACTTTGCAGGGACTTCAGGTGAAATTGCGAACAAAGTTATCTGTAAAATTAGAAGGAAAATATTCATAAGTTTACCAGGAAATTCGTGATTTATCGAAGGAAATTTGGCAACGCCTTCCGTTCGAATTCGGCGTTTTCCCTTAGCACGGCAGAATTCGAGGGACTTAAAAACGCCTGCTAAGCACGGGTTAGCCTTCTAATAGTTAAGGTGTGTTGAGCGTGTGGTATGCTCACAAGGCGCTCACGAACGGTTATTTCGAGCCATTTCACTGGATTCGACATTGTGAAGTGACGTCGCACGAAACAAAATCGTCACAATTTCACATCTAACGCTTTCGTTCTAATCCGACAGCGACATGCCATAGTTTTCTAAAGTCACGGAAAACTTTAACATTCACTGTGTAATATCGGAATACGTATGAAACGTGTCCCGTGCGAGTGTTTCCTTCTCAAAATAAAAGCATTGGAACTATCATAGTTTTTCTTTAAAACCGGCTATAACAAAATGATACCTGAGATAGTAGCCTAATTTCGCTCGACCGTTGCAAAATTTCCTCTAGTGTTTCATTTTCTTGAGAAACTTACAGTGCATTTCTTTCAGGCGTGCTGAAACATCTCGATCACGCAATCGTGATCGGCGTCCTTGAATTGCCCACATTTTACCAACACTTTTTTCTGTTTTTCCTAACTCCAAATGTTCAAATTCTCTGATTTTCCCCAACCAACGAACAAAACTTCGAGGTAACCCTTTTTTTTTTTTAATACGCTAATTTTGCTCAACTGCGGACTTATTTCCACTTGTAGAGTTTCAAATTAAAGAGAAAAAACACCCAAAGAGGAGTTGTTCAAAAAGTACTGATGGCTAACGTTTCACCTATTCTCAAATTCTTCAACATTTGGCACGAATTCCCAAACATTCCCCAGTCACGGCAAAATCCCTGTCTTACCCAGAATCCCGGAAACCCTAGAATTGAATTAAGTATTTAGGTATCTACGTCTAAATGCGTCCATTAATTGACTGCCCTTTTAAGCGATTTTCGGGATTTCTGAACCGCAGGGCTTTCCCACCCCCTTTCCCTCAGGATTTTTGTATATTTTCGACTGAAGCCCACATTTCCTATCCTTTTCTTACCACAGGAGGAACTTCCTCCTACATTGCGCCAATACGCTCCCTACAGGGTTGCCAGCCAAATTATTTTTTTCCATTCCCTGACTTTTCCCTGACTTTCCAATATTTTTCCCTGACTTTTAAGTATGGATCTGACGCAGTCTGTTAAAGTGAAAATGAGAGTCTCGGGCCCGCAACGCGAGTCCGAGACCGCCCGCGCCTAATTCCACGAAAAATCAGAAAAATCCCTGACTAACACCGAAATTCCCTGACTTTCCCTGACTTTTCCCGGTTGATTTTTTTTCCCTGACTTTTCCCGGTTTTACCGGTCGCTGGCAACCCTGTCCCTAGGAGCCGTAGACCGGAGTGGTGTGAGTGGTTACCCATCGTGCCGTGTTGAAGAAAAACGCCTTATGAGCAATCGGAGTTAGCCAAATTTCCTCAGACGAAATGTTTATTTTCGAAAAAATTGTGAATATTTTGCCTAAAAATTTTTGGAATGTATTTTTCGCAATTTCAGCAGATGCGTCAAAAATTTCGAGGAAAAAGTAGTCATGAATTTTCTAGGAAATAAACTGCTTGTCAGAGGAATCTAGTGACCTTTGAATGCTCAAATCAACATATCCTGATATTCATTATTAGCAAAGCTACCCTGATCTAGAATACCTTGATAGAGTATCTCCATGTGGCTATGAATTTTGATTGGCTTCTCCCTTTTTTGGGTTCTAGGGCCTCCATTGCGAGAACGGCGGCGAGATATCCATACTCTCTCCTTCAAGGTACTCTACCCTAATCACTGTCAATGACGGATCGTAGAACTAGTGCATTAATACCCCCCGCAGCGAAAAAAGCTACCAGTGCAGCCGCGGTTTCGGCGAACTTTCATGATCGATTCGCTGACAGGCGAAAAAGTTCCAAGAAAGAAGCACATCCATAGTCTGCCATGCTAAGGAAAAACGCCGTATGAACATTCAAGTTGCCAAATTTCCTTCAATAAAACGTTTATTTTTGAAGAAAACTATGCATATTTTCCCTTGAAATTTTCAGGAACTGTAGGTGAAACTGCGAACAAAATTATCTGGAAAATGGAGGATAAATATTCACAAACACTGGGAAACAAAACACATTGGATCTAGAGTCCAAACTTTTGAAAACATTGACAAGAAAAAGGACTCTTGATTCAATCAGATTTAAGCTTAAATCATAACGAAACCCGCTCAAATTAAGAGGCTTGATTCTTGATTTAAGCAAAAATCCGATTGAATCAAGAGTATTTTTTCCTGTCGATGTTTTTAAGAATCTGGACTCTAGATCCAATGTGTTTTTTCCCCAGTGAATTTTCCCGAAAATTCGTGATTTACCATTGAACTTTGGCAACGCCTGAAGGTTCATACGGCGTTTTTCCTTGGCACGGCCGGCACTCTTCCGCCGATTCCCGAGGGAACGAAGAACGCGGTTTTCGCGAGGTTTCCGGCGAATCTTGCGGGGCGACCGCAACTCTTCCTGGCGCCGTCGGGCAAAACCACCCAACTCCAACGTAAACCCCTCGGTACTTAAGAGGTTCTCGCTCCCTTCACGACGGACCTGGATCGCCTCCGAGGAGGTTTCACTCTGAGGTTTTATCTTCCTCGATAAAACCTCATCAGGATTCCCTGCCAGCGTCACGCCACACTGCCGCGCGGAAAAGCCGCGGGGAGGGGGGCAGGAAAAGTGACACTATCTCTGACGTGAACGGCAAAAAGCGAGGGGCGACGTTGTCAAATCACCCGGGTTTTCCCGACGGCTCCACCGGGATCCCCGGCGCTTCTCCTCCGGTTTGGCCACGGGGGGCGCTGCGTTCCACGCTCTATTTACCGCTTACCGGCCGGCTTATCTTCGGTGGTGCCGACTCGGGCGGAAAATTCGCTCGGTTCGATCGATCGATGATGAAACCCCACGAGTCCTATTAGTGATGAACCCTGAACTCCATGAGAATGCGTGTGTTCCAGGGCTCATCGAGGGATGGACGTGTTGGGTTTTTCCGTCGGCCGACCCGATCGTGCGGAACGCGCCGTGGGCGCGGGTGGTTTCCCGGTCTGTCAACCGCACATATTGCACCGCGAAGAATCCGTTTTGAGCGACGGAGTGACATAACTCGGGCAGGATACCGAGCGGAATCGAATTCGATACCTGTGGGGAGGAAGGCTGGAAATAGCCCGGGAGTGGAAATTCAAAACCTGCTAGGCGCCGTCAGGTGTTGCTAGGATTGTGCATGGTGGTCCCCCTCGTGGTGTAAAAGAACCTAAAAGTCGTGGTTTCGGAAACTTTTCGTGAGGTAATGGAGATGTTACATGTGTGAGGAATTTGCGATTTGACTTATAATTCTTATGTAAAAGTTTGCGAGAAACACGATGGTGCCACTGGTTTTCTCCGAAATCAACTCCCAAGCTCAAAAAAAGCTCTCAGTTGAGGCCAAAATGAAGGGGATATACCATGCTATCCTGAGAGTCCACCTCTACATCAAGACAAACTCTCCATGCAAAGATAGGGAGCAAATACATTGACAGGGCTGCCACCTTATTTGGGGACTCTAAAACTGTAATTACGGCAGCCCTGTCAATGTATTTGCTCCCTATCTTTGCATGGAGAGTTTGTCTTGATGTAGAGGTGGACTCTCAGGATAGCGTGGGATATCCCCTTCATTTTGGCCTCAACTTGAGAGCTTTTTTTGAGCTTGGGAGTTGATTTCGGAGAAAACCAGTGGCACCATCGTGTTTCTCGCGAACTTTTCCATAAAAATCGGAAGTCAAATCGCAAATTCCTCCCACGTGCAACATCTCCATTGCCTGTGTATTTAGTGTGATGAGAAATGTTACGCTCAGGCTACTAAATTCCGAATGGAGAGAGAGACGAAGGTTGAAGATTCAAAACCTGGTGGGTGCCGTCAGGTGCTGCTAAGATTGAGCAAAGTGTTCCCTGCTCCTCTCATGGTGTAAAAGAACCTAAAAGTCAAAATTTCGGGAACTTTCCAGGAGGTAATTGCCTCTGTATTTAGTGTGACAAGAAATGTTG